TCAACCTTTCCTGGTCTTGATTTCCTCACCTATAAAATAAGGGAATAGCTTAAAATGCCATGATATTCTGGAAATACTTAAGTAGTATATAATATATATTTATATGGTATACGGTAATAATAGCAACAGCAACCCAACATGTGTTCTCTGCCCACAGATTTTATTCCAACCACTTGATGATTAAGAGGTCCCTTGAACACCCTAAAAGGCAGGTTAGATTTCCTCTGTGCAAGGACTGGCCCAAGCTCACCTGCTCCAGAGCCTTAGGGAAGGCTTGACTTCCTCTCTGATGAGCTAGCACACTGAAGGGGGCTGAAAGGGCCAAGACAGGTGCATGGCAGAATGCACTTGCCCTTATAGAGCTCAGGAGAGCCACTCCTTGTATTTCTCTTCTAAGAGGCCAAGAATAAACTCTTACCCTCAGAGATGTCAGTAGATAAGGCTCTGGGTGACATGCACCTCATGAGCCTTTGCAGGTGAAAATACAGGATCAAAGAATTATCTGGGCTTCTCAAAGGGAGAAGAGATTCGCATAATGATTGTCCCCAAATCACAAAGGGTCCTTCTCATCTAGGGGTCCAGGCAGCATTAAATAAGACCATGGAGCTGGCCTTCCCCATCAACAAACAAGTCAGTTTCCAGGGAACTGGGTGTTAGATGTGCATGTCCCGCTTACCAAGAAACCAAATTGTCAGTTCTTCCTGGCGTGTTTCAAAAGTAGGTTTTAAAACTGTATCTACCATCCGCTTGGAAGTGTAGTTTCTACAAGAATTGTAGAAATCTTTCAGAAGTGCTTGTCAAAATTTGGATGCAATTCAAGGTCACTGTATATAGAAGCACTATACCCACTGATGTCATATGGAATTCTTCCACTTGGAAAAAAGCCAGAGAGCACCACAAGGGTGCAAGATGTCAGGGACTGCTTTTGATATGTTTTGAAACATAGGAGCTTTGATTCTAATGTCTGTGTCATATGCTAAACACATGTGCCCTTAACTAAATATCACAAAAACCTACCATAAATTGTCAACCTTAATGGTTTCCTCATTTCAAAACACATTTGTTTTGTAAGTTAATGCGCTAAGGCCAATATTTTAAGGTGACTACACAGGGTTTAAATGAAAAACATATCAGATATATATGTCTATACAATTACATACACGTACACACACTCCCACGTAATTACAATTTCTCTGTTATTTTAAGTCAGAAAGAAAGGCAAGGAATTTTGTACACATTTGAGACCAGTGCTTTTGCTACCATTGACACCTTTAGGTATTTTAAGGCTCTCATCCCCACTTTACCAAATCAGAAGGACAAAATTAGGTGAAATTAAACTTTTCCAAACATTTTTCTGTGTGTGTGTGTGTGTGTGTGTGTGTGTGTGTGTGCTTCCAAAAGTTTTCTTCAGAGGAAGAGGCCGTATAGAGACTTTATGGCCTCTACAAAGACGAGAGGTGATATTGAAAATTATTTGAAAGTTGGTGTTTGCTTTTAGAATTTCCTTTATTTTCAAGTTTATGATCCATGTTCTTTCATTCCAAGACCAGTTCATACTCCTAACATCTCCTTCTAGGGACAGAAATTTCCAGGATAACACATCTTCCTAGTATCCCCAGGAAGAGGCCAAAGAGAGAAAAAAAGGCAGCCTAGAGGGTGGTGGGGGACAGGGAAACAGAGGCAGGTCCTGCAAATATTCTTTCCTCATCTCAGCTGGGAATGAGCTCTCAGCTTCTGCCTCCACTCAGCCTCCTGTGCGAGCTAACAGAGATAATGAGTGTCACTTAAGACACATCTCTGGCAACATGTTGGTTGTTTCAAAAAGTAAAATAGGCATGGGGTACCTGGGTGGCTCAGTCAGTTGAGTGTCTGACTCGTGGTTTCTGCTCAGGTTGTAATCTCATGGTTTGTGAGTTCGAGCCCCACGTTGGGCTCTGGGCTGACAGTGCAGAGCCCGCTTGGGATTCTCTCTCTCTCTCCCTCTCTTCCTGCCCTTGCTGCTCTCTCTCTCTCTCTAAAAGTAAATAAATAAAAACTTTTTTAAAAAGAAGCAAAATAGGATAAAATTTTGAAGAAATACCCTTTTTCTTTATTTCCCCCCTAAAATGTTATGATAGCAAATACAAGGGACTTTTAGAGAAAAACAGTAGTATATGAAATCATTTTGTAAATCTTTTTTAAAATTTATTTTAATGTTTATTTTATTATTTTTGAGAGACAGAGAGCCATAGAATCTGAAACAGGCTCCAGGTTCTGAGCTGTCAGCACAAAGCCCAATGCGGGGCTCAAACTCTCAAACTGTGAGCTCATGACCTGAGTCAAAGTCAGACATTTAACTGACTGAGTCAACCAGGTGCCCCAAAATCATTTAGTAAATCTTTTAGCCTGTATGTTAAATAAACTGACACAGTAGAATATTCACAAGAAACAGATTTTAAAATGTCCTACGTGTATAAGTGCCTGTCTTTATTATCATTGCTAAATATAAAGCAGTAGCATAATAGTATAATTTAATATAATATGATGTATACTTACATAAAATATAATAATGTGCTCAGTGGAAATGTAAATGATCATGTTTCCACTAGAATACAAATGCATTCCAGTAGATATTTAATATATTTTATTTCATGCCATATTTTAAATAAGTTTCTACTTTCCTAACTGAAGGAATATTTATGTAATAACAAAAGCTCTTACCAGTGCTTCACTCAGAGCAGAAAATAACAAGATTTATGTATTGAAATGTCATTCTATTTTTAAATTTTAACATTTGACAGATTACCATGCGTTAAGGAAACAAAGAATACTTCAATCCCCAAATTTAGTATGGTTATTGACACTGTCAAGGGGTGTTAGAGGATTGGATTCAGTTCTGAGTCAGACCAAGCCAGAACCTTGATCAAAGTATCTCAGCTGAGCTCAGCTGCACGTTTACATAGTACCTTCAGATGCAGTCTCTTCCTGGACTCTCATGGTTACCCTAACAGAGAAAGGGGGGAGCCAAGCTGTCCTTTAGAGATAATATTTAGTGCCATGGGTCTCCAATCATCTTTGGAGAAGGCAAAAGGGCATCTGCCTCACTGCACAGAAGCATCAGTAGGTGTTGTCACTCCCAAGTTCAACGGCAGAGACCAAAAACTCAAAATGAGAAGCTGACACAGAGCAATTACAACTTCTCTCACTAATGACCTGGAAGCATTTGAAAAGCTAAGTAGATATGCCTCCAAGGAAATATTTTTTCTTTAGAGTAATATCCTTCATTCATTTTCAGTTCATTACATGTTTTTTGTTTTGTTTTTTAATGTTTATTTTTGAGAAAGAGAGAGAGACAGAATATGAGTGGGGAGGGGAAGAGAGAGAGACACACAGAATCTGAAGCAGGGTCTAAGCTTTGAGCTGTCAGCACAGAGCCCGATGCAGGGCTCGAACTCATGAACCGTGAGATCATGACCTGAGCTGAAGTCAGACACTTGAGCTTGACCGACTGAGCCACCCAGGCACCCCTGCAGTTCATTAGATGTTATAATGCTCCTTGTGTGTGGCACACCTACTTTGTGTGCCAGTAATTTGGCAGGGAATGAGACAAACAACCTGCCTTCAGGGAAACTTACACTTCCGTGGGATACACAGAACAGTAAATGAACAAGATGGCTTCAAACGGTGATAAATGCTATGGAGGAAATATTCAAGGGGATGTGATAGTGATGGAGAAGGGGAGACAGGATTGTTCTTTGTTTAGGTGGTCAAGACCAGGTGAAGTGAGACTTGAGTGGAGGCCTTAAGAATGAGCCATCTTGGGGTGCCTGGGTGGCTCAGTCGGTTAAGCTTCTGACACTTGATTTCAGCTCAGGTCATAATCTCATGGTTGTGAGATCGAGCCCTGTGTCAGGCTGTGCACTGGGTGTGGAGACTGCCTAAGATTCTCCTTCTCCTTCTCTCTCTGCCCCTCCCCTGCTCTCTCTCTCTTTCTTTCTTTCTTTCTCTCTCTCAATAGATAGATAAATAAATCAAGAAATTTAAAAAAGAGAGAGAGAGAGAAAATGAGCCATCTTGACAGAGCCAGGAGCTAGAAGCAGGAATGAGCTGAAATAGGGCAGAGCAGTGTGGCTGGCGGAAGGCAACAAAGAAGGAGGCAGAAGCTACCATCAGGTCATGAAGGGCCTCACAGGCCACAGAAAGAAGGAAGAGCTTGTTTTAAGTGCAGAGACAAGCCATCAGAGTGTTTTTTGAGAAGGAAAGGAATATGATCTGTTTCATGGTTTTAATGACTTTTTAAAAAATGTTTTTATTTATTTTAGAGAGAGTGTGAGTTGGGGAGGGGCAGAGAGAGAGGGAGACAGAGGATCTGAAGTGGGCTCTGTGCTGACAGCAGTGAACCCAATGCAGGGCTCGAACTCAGGAAATGAGAGATCATGTCCTGAGCCCAAGTCAGATGTTTAACCAACTGCACCACCTAGGCACCCCTGGTTCATGGTTTTAAAATACCACTCTGCCTGCTAGGTAACAGAAGGGCCAAGATGGAAGAGGCAAGGCCATTGAGGAGATTAACAGCCCAGGCAAGAGATGATGGTGGTCTGCCCTGGTGAAGCAGAAGGAGAAAAACAGCTGTAATCAAAAATATGTTTTGAAGAGAGAAGGCATCAGCACATGGGTAGTGGTGAAAACCATGGGACTGAATGAGTACACCCAGGGAAGAGATGTCTAAAGTAGGGAAGAGGGCTCTGGACCAAACTCTGACTTTCGTACAGAAAACAAAGCAGCAAAGGAACATGGGAGTTGATACCAGAGAAGCAGGAGATAATCCACAAAGTTTATCTACATGTTCAAATTAGTGTGAGTTCCCCAGAAAGTCCATAGATGAAGATAAATAACTATATATTCTTTAGACACCACTGCTCTTCTAGCATGTTTGGAAAAAAAAATTCACCTTTACCAAAGTCACTTACCTATAAATACATTTTTTAGAAGCTTCTATGTTACTTACTTTAAAATCTTACCTTTGCTCCAGTGTCCCCCACTCCACGTAAACCCATTGGTCCAGGGGGTCCCGGTAGCCCCCGAGGTCCCTGAGATGACATAATAAAGGAGAGAGTGAGTGTACTTGTCATGTGCAGTGTTCATCAAAGAAGAAAGGAAGGAAGGTAGGGAGGAAGGAAAGAAGGAAGGGGGGGGGAGGATGGAAGGAAGGAAGGAGGGAAGAGAGAGGAAATGAAGGAAATAACAGTGATGTCCACACTTACAGCCACACCAGGATAGCCATCACCTTTGAGTCCTGGAGCACCCACTGGTCCCCGAGGTCCTTGCGCACCCTGGGTAAATTCCAACACCAGGTCATAATGTTAGACTAAACTATGAAACACCTGGCAAAACTTAAGCACAATACCAACTCTATATGGCAAACATGCATTTGATAATGCAAAGGAATGATCTGAAAAATTTTAGAAGGGAATTCTACCACAGATGGCAACTTGTTATAAGTCTCTCTTCATAAGTCTTACCCATTTGCATTTGGTGGGAAGCGTGGAGTGAATACAGGGAATATATGTGAACCATTACAAAGTCCTCTATAGGAAACACATTTCATAGGAATTAAAAATGGCCGATTGTTGATAGGTTAATTTTTAAATTTATACTTTTCTGCATCATAAATTGTGGAGAAGTATAAAAATGAGAAATTTTAATAAGCACAGTGTGAGAAGAGAAGAATACATAGCTATATTTCAAGTGTAAAATTTTGAATGTAAAGTAAGATAACTATGTGCTACCTATTGTTAAACTATATCCATTGTCCTCTTCATTGGTGCCCAAATTACACAAGGAATAAATAAGCCAAAATGAAAATTAAATACAGATTAATTTTTTTAAAAAACAAGTTGTAAACATATAGGATACAGAGTTTGTGTTGTGATTCATATCTCAAGACCGAGGAAGAAGTTCTATATATTGCTTTACATGATAACCTTTGGCATCAAAAACTTTTGGTAGCTACAATTGGCCTCCTCTATAGAGGAAAGTGTGATTACTGCCTTTTGAATGACAGGATTTTCGGGAAAGTGTAACTCTCCTTCGAATGGAAATCAAAGAAATTTCTGGCTCAAGTGAAATGGAGAGAGAGGAAGAAAAAAATGAGGAAAACTCTTAGAAGATTCAGTAAATATAAACCTATTACACTGTATTTAAAATGTGTAATTTTTTTTGTATCACATTCCATTCTGTTGCTGTGATAACTCTTACAATGACCCTTTCAACGCATATCAACTATTTTGATTAAAAACTGTCCATATTCCTATGGGTTTTACATTAGAAAGAAACTAGTAATTGGCAGACCTTTGTTTCCCAAGATTGGAAAAAGTAGCAGGACTCTCAGTGCTTTCCTTATATGCAAGGATCTCAAATTCTGAGATCAAAGTACCATTCTCCCAAGCCAAATGCTGCCCACAATCCAACTCTCAAAAGCTGTTCCTAATTCTACTTCTATGAATGAATGATTGACTGGGGGGAAGAAAATTACATACTCTTTAAGTATAAAAAAGTTAAGTTTATTTTGAAAATCATGAATACAATAGCTGTTTTTTCCTATTAAATTGAGACTGGTTTTATGGGATTAACCTTCTTAAGAGTGATCTCTAGGAAACGTGTGGCCACTTGTAAGAACTTAATCTACTATTTATCATGAACACAACCCCAGGATGATCTCTTCAAGTTATGTGACAGAGAGCAAAAACAAGTTCTTCTGGAGAGGTGAATTTTGGCATATCCCCATCTCTAAGGAACTAACTAGTCACTAGAAGCAATTTATTGTGTTAATCCAACCAAATTTAATGTTAAAGTGCCAAACATTACATAAAGACATGTCCCCAAACAATATATCCGTTTCTTTCCATGCCTACACAAGGAACAGGCCAACGACAGAAGAAAATAGTAACTGCTCCCTGGTTAAGTTGAAAGGAAAAGAAAACTGGAATCAAGATTCACTTTCAGGTTTTATTTCTAAATTTCAAGACTATAACAGATTATCAACAGCTGTTACTGTTTATCCTCTGGCACCCACATGGGGAGAAAAAAAATGTTAAAACACTTATAGTTTACAACTAAACATTTTTTACCTAGAGATCCTTGTGCTGCTTCCTGCAAAATTTTCAGCTAGCTTGTTACTTCTAATATTAATAGGAAATATCAGGGGGCAGGGATAGGGGCACTGTTCTGTCTCAGATTTTTATTCTGGACTCCTCACGATATATTTCTAGAGAGAATTTTTGTCACTTGGCCTTTATGTGCTGGATTCAAGAAAATGTCCTGCAGAGCAATTCCCTTTGAAGCGTCTCTCGTTCAATAGAAATTAGGGCAGAAATATCAATCTAGTGTTTTGCAATGGGCTTTAGGGGAGGATCTGGAGCTCCCTGAAGTCATATACAAAACTGAATTATGTGCCAAAACTTCTATCAGACGTTTAACCTCTCAAAGGTTTAAAAAATAGCGCATTAGGGGAGAATGGCAGAAAGAGTATCATTAGAGACCAAGGGATTAGAAAAATCATGGAGTAAAGAAGCAAATAACTTTAACTACATCATTAGCAATGCCAATGGCGATCAGTAAAAAAACAGGAGGGGCTAGTAAATCCAGGCTGCACATTTAATTGGATTTTATTTCTACTGTAAAGGACAGTATAAGTAGAGAGACGTAATTTTAAATCATGGAACTAGGAATATGCAGATTCAGGAAGTTATCAAACAATATGAAAACTGCTACCCAATGTTCTTGATCAAAGCCCTATCTGCAGTATTAGCATTAGAAAATTTGGAATTTTCTCTTTGTGTCGTATGGAGCTTGGGTTCCCATGTACCTCAGTGTCTGGGGAGTAGGATGACCATCTTGTTCTGGTTTGCCCTGGACTTTTCTCTGTTTTAGCTTGAAAATCCCACATCCTGGGAACCTTCTGTGTCCTCAATAAACCAGAAGATTGCCTCTCTAGCAAGGACAACTGTTAAAGTGATTAAGAACAATGGAGTTCAGGATCTTCCCTTGACCTTTAAAAGGACCACTCCAACTTAATTGCAGTATATAATAAGTTTTGCATTATATTTCAAAAATGGTTCTTAGTTTTCTTTTTTGAAGTTTGAAAATCCCTGATGTTAGTACTTGAATCCTTGTATCCACAAGAGGCAATCTGATAGAACTAAAACCAGTTTCAAAACCACATAACAACATGCTACTGATTTAATGAAGTGCTGATTATGGAGCCCTGAAGCCTGTTCTCATAAACGGGGATGGGATGTGCTTGTGACATTTGGAATGTTAAATTTTGCTGCGATGCTGGGTTTTGTGTGAACAGGGAAATGGTGCCTTGTTGCCATGGAAAATAGATATGATTACTGAAAGCCGTCTTCTTCTATAATTATTTGCATTTTCATTTAAAATAACTGAAAGATGGAGAACGAAGCAGAGAAATTGAATTCAATAAAGCTTCCAAACATGAACTTTCAGTATCTCTTCTGCAAAACGCTGTCCAAAAAGTTCAAGTTTGGAAGATTTATTGAGTTAAATTTCTCTGCTTTGTTTTCCACAGTGGTGGTTTGCAGAAGAGACACCTAGGCCATTCATATGTAAATGAAGAAGCTAGAGGTCATATAATCTCTTGTACCACAGACATTACAAAAGGAGTATTTTCAAACAACTATTGAGTCATCCAAAATTTCACCATAAGGGGCTATCATTCCTCCACATTTATGAAAAATAAATTATCTGATGGCTTGATTTTTAAAAACGAAAACAATGCACTGAGTTCTTCAATGTAGACAGTGAGTAGAACAGTCTCAACTATAAACTTACTGTGCATTAAATCCCCTTTCCCTTCTGTCTCGTAGAGGGAAGAAAGAACATGAATAAAGCCTACCTTTGGTCCTCGAATAGCAATTCCCGGTTCTCCTTTAAATCCAGGCATCCCGGGTCCTCCCCTGTCTCCCTGCATATTTCAAATAACGTGCAGTTTCAGGCTTTAAGTAGCAGGAGAAGCCATAATAGCACGAAGCACAAAAGAGATGAACCAGTTTATAAAGGCTTTGATCTATCAGTCTCTGATCTTGAGGTAGTGGCTTCTTCTAATGTATTTGAGGGGGATTGCAAATCCTAAGCAAATCAAACCTGTTGGTAAAGACTATGACAGCTGTTTAGAGGAAGGCCACTAAAATAGGTGGCTACCTAGACTCAAATACTTGGACTGTAAGAATAGGAACCTCTTAAATCTGAGTAGATTTCTTTCCTGCCAGACTTTCTGATTATTAATCCTACCTGATTCTTCTGAATAAACACAGTACATTTTTACTTGCATTAGGGTTCCAGGATTTGGTGGAGGTAGTTCATGATGAAGTGACAAGTTCAAGAGCAGAAGCTAGAAATCTGTTTTCAAATCTTAAATTTCCTGCTAGACCTTAGTTTGCTTAGTTGTGAACTGTCAGGGTTGAACTAGATAATATCTTGGGGTTCTTCCAAAACTAAAATTCTAGTCCATTGGTATCATGAATTTTTTTCCCCACCCCACCTGCCAAAGATCCAAGTTTAAAATATGTATATATAAAAAATAAGTATTCTCAAGAATGCATACCTTTGGCCCAGGTGGTCCAGGAATTGATGCTCCGGGCATCCCAAAAGGGCCCATAATTCCTGGTTCACCCTAAAAAAAAAAGAGCAAAATACTTACTACATTGCAAGCAAAGAAATCATATATAGGAATTATATTAGGAAAAATAGAAATGTGTTCCCAGCATTTTAAAATATTATGACCTATTTCCCAGACCAATGTGAAAATATTTGAGCATCTTTGTAAACCACTACTAAAGTTTTTAATGATTAAGATTTCAGTGCCTTTAATAAATGCATTCAGTTAACTTCTGAGTATTAGGAAATTTTTATCTCTTGTGTATTCTTTTATTTGCCAATAAAAATTATGCAATTCATGGTGCTTCCATTCTGTATTGTGTGCCAGGAAGCTCAGAGGGAACTATGTGTTCAATTATAAGAACTTTCTCCAGCATAAGTTCTTGGGTACACTTGGCAGACAAATAATGTTCCTTTTAGTTTATAACTTTTTCCTTTGTTATTTTATTTTATTTTATGGCCCATGGTGTATCAGTCTTCTATTGTATGCTATCTCACATCCTTTTTCAGAAGTAGGGAGTTTATGGTAAAAACAATGGAATTTTTAATAGAAAATTTCAAACATGTCTTTTATTTACTTATTTATTTAATTTTTTTGGCATCTCAATATTGACTCTCAATAAAAACCCAAGCAATGTCTCTGTCCCACCTGGTTCTAGACCAGGATTCTCAAATTTTAGTGTAGAGAAATCATAAGAGGAATTTGGTAAAATATAGTCAGGTCTCAGCCCCAGAAACTTTAATTTGGTAGCTCTAGGGGCTGGGCCCAGCAATATGAATTTTATGAGGCACTTCTGGTGGTTCTGATATAGGTACAAATACCTCACTTAAAAACACCATCGGGGAGCCTGGGTGGCTCAGTCGGTTAAGCATCCAACTCTTGATTCTGACTCAGGTCATGATCTTGTGGTTCGTGAGATCTGGTCCTGTGATAAGCTTTGTGCTGACAGCACGGAGCCTGCTTAGGATTCTCTCTCTCCCTCTTTCTCTGTCCCTCCCTGATATGTGAAAGCCCTCCCCCTCCCCAAAATAAATAAATAAACCTTAAAAAAAATTGAGAACACTATGCAAAGTAATTGTCATTAAAAGAACATGACATGTCCAAAATGACCCATTTGGGATACTAGAAGAAAATATTAAAGCTTCATGATATATTTTTATCTCATCTTTTAGATTTTCAATTATATATGTAAATATCATAACAATATGATAGTTTATGAATAAAACTTACAATTAAAAAATAAACCTATATTGAGGTGTGGTCGAATTCATTTTTGCTGGTAGGGATTTATAATCAATCAGTTTGGAAACTACTGATGTAGGATAGGTGTGGCAAACTGCGACCTTCAGGCCAAATCCTGCCTGCTGCCATGTTTTACACAGCCATTGGCTAAAAATGGTTTTCATATTTTGTTTTGTTTCTGTAAGTCGGCTCCACACCCAACATGAGAGTTGAGCTCATGACCTCGGGATCAGGAATCACATGTTCTATCAGGCATCCCAGTTTTCACATTTTCAAATGATTGTTATTTAAGTGATTATGTAATATCCTCAATTTTGCCTCTTGGCCACAAGGCCTAAATTATTTACTACTTATACTTTTCCAAGAAATTTGCCTCCCCTTGCCTTAGAGATTGAGCTGTTTCCAAGTGCATGAGCTGCCCACTTGGCCCCCGTGTTTCCTCCAAGAGGGACTCCATCAATCAACCACTAAGACTCTTGCCCTAGACCACATTCATCTTCAGAGCTGAGACCCTCCCACTGTGCTGATTACCCTGTACGACCCACAGGCTGAGCACACCAGCCAACCAGGGCCCAGATCATGCCAACACATGCACACACCAGTCTTTAATTCCGAACCTGTAAGGCAATGGCGCATGACACAGTGAGGATTTTGGCAACAGACAACCACCCTGTTCAATCCTATGGCCAAGGATAAAACATCAACTCATTAAAATTCTCACTTAAACCAGAGTAAACAAGATTATGCTTCTAGATTTAATCTATTCTTTTAAAATAAGAAATTATACATATAGTATAGAATTCTCTTAAAGACTGTATTAAATTGTGATTATGCTTTAAAAAATAGCAATTCTTCATCAAAAAAGCTTTATTTCAAAATACAGAAAAAATACTTTGAATAAGAGTAAGATATAAGGAATAACCATTATTATTAATACTAATACAACATTTTCCCTACATGGTGGCATTTCTCATCAGGTGCTTCTTGAATTACCTGGAGCATAGGGCACTTATTTACAAAACACAGATGGCTAGGACCCACCCACCTATTAAGTCACGCTATCCAGGCATGGCACCAAGAAATATAATTTAAAAAAAATTTTTTTTAACATTTATTCATTTTTGAGATTGAGAGAGGCAGAGCATGAGCTGGGAAGGGGCAGAGAGAGAGACACAGAATCTGAAGCAGGCTCCAGGCTCTGAGCTGTCAGCACAGAGCTTGATGCAGGGCTCGAACTCACAGACCATGAAATCATGACCTGAGCTGAAGTCGGACGCCCAACTGACTGAGCCACCCAGATGCCGCAAGAAATATGGATTTGTAACAAGCTCCCAGGTGACACTGATGGACACTGAAGCTTAATAACTGGTCTACAGAGAATGCTTTATTTTCTACCTGCTCGTATGTGGCTGATACCATTTTTTTCCCTTTTAGTTGTTTTTTTTAATATCTGGTCCCTGAACATGCTCCTTGTCTCCTTACAAGTAGCATCTTCCTAGAAGCCTGAACTCTCTTAGGTTTGCAATTTCTGTTTCCTGACACATCCAAATGACCTCAATATTCTCTCCTGCTAAGTCAGGACACATACCTAATTGCCTGCCTCACAATTTCCTTTTCTTCATCCTCAGCACCCTGTCCTGGTCACTTTATCAGGACATATATCTCCTACTTTCCATTTCACAGTATTGATTTTTTACTCTCTGAATAGCTCCACGTACTATGTGCCAGGAACAGTGCTAAGTGCTTTATTAACTCTTTCAATCTTCACAGCAATCTTAGAATAGGTACTATTTTTACTTTCTTTCTGTGATTGAAGTGACGGGCCCAGAAAGGTTCGGGGTGGGGCAGGATGAAAATCCTACTCTACCGCATTCTGAAGCCCCACTCCTCATCATCACTGTGCTGCCTTAGTCTGGAATTGTGCTGTTGTTTAGCAAAAAAGGATGGTAGAGAATTGGTATCTCCTACAGTTATAACTTCATCCCAACTTCTGAATATTTGGTGGTAAGTTGAAAGAATTGACAAACAGATTGTCTCTAAGAATCATAAATGTTCCAGTGAAGATGACATAGTTTGTGGACTCTTTACTCCATCCTGTTTGGTCTGGAATAGTATGCTTATTCTAAAGCCTTTTTCATTTGGGAGTTCTGTTTTGTATTTGTTGAGTAGGAACCAGGGAATCCAATTTGCAGTGGAAATCTACTATTCTATTAAAACCAGACACAATTTCAATCTCCCAAGAGCACAAATGAGAATATAAGAAACATACCTTCGGCCCTTCAGGCCCTGGAAATCCCCTCTGTCCTTGATTTCCTTTGCTCCCTTTCTTCCCTTCATCACCCTGATGAAATAATTATAAAAAGACAGTTGTGTTAACAAACCGTCCTCGCTCTTCTAACAACCCTATCAGGACCCTGTTATCAACCGACACTGATTTCCTAGCAATGTGCCCCAAGTCCTGCTGGGTGGCATGGGATTTGTCAATGTTCTTGAGCAGATAGGGTGACTTCAGAATTGTTCAGTCTTCACCATTTATTCAATGTGATTTAATATTTTTAACAATCTAAGCTCAGTATCTCTCTTTGGGGACTTCAGTTTGAATTCACAATTCTTTTCACCGTTGGTTTATTAACAGATGCTTCTGAGACATTCACAGTTTCAGAAAAGAGAGCTACCTATGCTTTTTCAGCTTTAATGCCACTTCAGTGTTGAAACGTAAAATGAGATGTTTTCCAATATAGAGAGCAAACTGGCGGTTGCCAGAGGGAGTTGGGTGGAAGAATGGGTGACATAGGTAAAGGGGATGAACAGTACACTTATCTTGAGCACTGAGAAATGTATAGAATTGTTGAATCATTATATTACACACCTGAAACTAACAAAACACTGTATGTTAATTATAGTTGAATGGAAAAAAATCTAATTTTAAAAAGAAGTGGCAACAAGGTAGTGAAGCATGAAATAGCTACACAAAATGTTACCACTGAAGGAAACCATATTTTTCAAATCCAGCCCCATTTCTTCCTCAGTGAGGAGTCTAGCTCTATCTCCCGAAGGAGACCAATAATTCTATTGGTAGAAGGATCCATGAGCATTAACCTGGAGCAGAGTTAGAAACTGCCTACTGGCTGTTCCTCAGCCTGGTTGTGTAACCTTATGCTTCTCTGAAAGAATTTTGTGACCTCCAACCAGAGAGCTCAGAGAATTACAAAGCAATCCTTAAACTAGGGCTCAGTTGCAAGGTATCATATCTAAATGTGTGCTCAGCTCAACAAAGGAATGAATTTGGGGGTTGCAGGTGAAACCATTTAATCATTTATCAGATATGATTATACCACAGTTTTCAAACCTAAGCATGCATCAGAGTCACGTGGAGGGCTTGTCACCCCACGTGGAGGGTTTGTGCTGAGCCCCACATCCACAGTTTCTGATTTAGTAGGTCTGCATTGAAACCCAAGAATTCACATTTCTGACACATTCCCAAGGTCATCAGCAATGCAGACACTCCGTTAAGAAGAGGTGAACTCCTATTACACCCACAGATTGTAATTAACTCCCCAAGGTCCGAACTAATAAAGAGCAGTGACACGGGTGATAAAAAATAACAGTTGACTGTTATTGTACCATGAACTTACTGTATCATTATCATTTGACAATGGAGGCAAAATCTAACCCCAGCTAGTTATTTTCTTCCATTCACTCCCACGTTTAATTTACTGACCTAAATAACCCAGAAGATGGCAATAGGAACCCAATTAAAGGTAATAAAGTGCCAACACTGAACAAGAGCATGCCTGGGCTGTGTGATATATTCCTACCACTCTTCTCCATCACCCTCCATAAACCACAAAACCCTTCAGAGCTACAAATCCCGAGCCCTCTTTTTCCAAAGCATTGTCCTTGCTCTATTGGTAGCATTCAACACCACCAATTGCTTTCCTCTTGAAACCCCCTCTCCTTGGTTTCCCTAACATGATAGCTATTCTGTTTATCTTCACACTATTGTGAATGTTCTTTTCCAGCTACACCACAAGGTGGGATTCAAACCTCAGAGACATCATTCATTCTACAGCTTCAATGGTTAACTCCAAGGATCTATTTTCCAAAAGTATATTCTAGAAAACGTTCGTTTTCCTGAATGTTAATAGACAAGCATTTCTAAAAATGTTTTTGTACGATGTGAAAAAGGTATTCTCTGTCAACATTCACCCACAAAAAAAGAGATCTCATAGTCTGATAAGTCAATAAATTAAACTGTTTGAAATTCTACAAATGAATTTAAATTTCAAATTCTTACAATTAAGGTTAAGGACTCAATTTTAGCCAATATTTGCATAAAACATAGATTTCTTAGGTTTTCAATGACCATTTTAAGACAATTATAAATAGAACACTAATAATTATACAGATTTTATTTTTACTTTACTCATATGTAATTCTTCATAATCTTTATATGAACATTGATGACTATACAAAAACTGCAGGAACATCTGGCACCTTAGAGTCTGTAGGTTATGTCACTCGTGGTCTTGTTGATGAATTTGGATATTCTTATCTTGACCTATAAAGATGTTATTCAACCAGCATTTCTATAATGTGCAAAATAAACTTAGGCCAAGTTGTGAAAGTGCAACCTCCATTTAATAAGGTTGGGATTATGACTTATTTCTTATTGCTTTGTGTGAGATTCTATAAATTTTTGAAGAAAATATATGGACTTTCAAGTCTCAAGGATGTATTTCAAGGCTTCTTTTCTGTTTCTAAAATGTCAATGTGGGCATTTATTGAGAAAACGTGTTGAACTCTTCCTATTATCTGGGTCTTATGATAGATCTTAGGAAAACAAAAATGAATGATACATACTTGCTGTCTTTCAAAGGTTCCGACAAGCTAGATCCATAATTTTAAACCAGAAGTAAACGCATGTGACATAGCAGGAATACCAGTCTAACAATCGAATTTCTCCCCAGTTGTCTCCTCGGGCAATCTGCTTTCCTCAACACTTTGTCAATTCCATACCTTAGGGCCAGGTTGTCCTTTTCCAGGTGGTCCTTCTGGGCCTCTTGTTCCTGGAAGCCCTGCTTCTCCCTAGAGGAAATGACAATGATGCCTTAGCTGACTCTCCATGGACAGTTTGTGTAAGCCCACCTTGTCTCCTTTTCTGGTCAGTGGATTCTCTGCTGAGACCCTCCGAAATAAGACCTTCATTCTAGTCTTAAAATGGATTTGGAAATCTACCAACTTTAATAAATTAATATCAAGCTCTAGTTTAGCTCAGAGCCGCTGAAATATGAAAAAGTCCAATTTCTCAGCCAATTTTCAAAGACTATACTCACTTTCCTATGGCTCATCATTCACATGTGATGGTTTGGCTTAAAAAGAAAAAAAAAAAAAACGGAAAGACCTTCAGCCTTTCCATCTGCTATTTTTCTCTACTTATATTGAAAAATGAGTATTTCAAATGTCAACTCATAACACTTCAGAAAATCTTTACAATGGCCTTACTTCCAGAATGCATTTACAGCCTCTCATTTTGGAGGGGGAAAAAGTGTTTTTCTCTAAGGCTACACTCAGGTACTTTCTAGGAATCACAAAGGGACTAGATCACTGGAGGGTACCATGGTCGAAACACCAGAGAGAAAGCAGAGAGCATGAGACCCTGTTCACCCATTAAATTGGTGCTCTTCCTCTCTGAAATAAGTGGAAAAGGAAATTTATAATTATGAGATGTTTTAAAAAGACTAAGCTTGTCCTGGATGGTTTACTTTGAGTTCCTGCAGGACCAAGGTATCAGTGTGGTTCAATAGTTTTTACTCTAGTCACGGAAAAACATACTGTTGTTACCTTCTTTCCTGCAGCCCCATCCTCTCCTGGTACTCCTGGTTGTCCTGGGAGCCCTGTTGAGCCTGGCTCCCCCTGGTGGATGAGCAAAGATTTTATTTCCCAGAAATTCATATTTATCTATAAGTGTCATGTTTACCATAATTTAAATTCATATTTATGCACCACCATTTTGAGGTACTTACCAACTGTATATCTTACAATATTTGAAACAAACCTCTGAATGGGGAAATCTGAGTAGTAACCAGTAGTAATGAAATTATTTGACCTTGGGCAAGTTACTTCAACTTCTTGGATCTCAGTTTTGGATTATGTTGTTCTGGATTGAACTGTAACCTCAAAGAAGATATGTCAAAGTCCTGACCTCTGGTACCCGTGAATGTGACATCATTTGGAAATTGGGTCTTTATAGACGTAACCAAGTTAAAATGAGATCATCAGGGTGGGCCCTAATTCAATATGACTTCTGTACTTAGAAGAAGAAGCAAACGCCATGTAAAGACAGACACATGGGAAGAACTCCATGTGATGACAGAGGCAGAGACAAGAGTGGTGCCACTGTGTGTCATGGAATGCCAAGGATTGGCAGCCAGCGCCAGAAACTGGGCAGAGGCAAAGAAGGATTCTTCCTTACAGGTTTCTGAGAAACATGACTCTGCAGACACTTTGATTTTCAACTTTGAACCTCGAGAATTGTGAGATAACAAATTTCTGTTGTGTTGAACCACAGTGTGTGATTCTTTGTATAGCAACCCTAAGAAGTTAACATGAAAGTGAAATTTCAGCTCTAATATTCAGTACTGCTACTTGCTTTCAAGTTAATTTGTATTTAAGAATACACCCTTTAAAGTGTTTAGAGATAACATGTGCTACCTTCAAACAGTGCTTATTGCATTCATTAACAGCAAAAATATTAAAAATAAGTGAAAGTCATTTCACCTAACTTAGCTAAAAAAAAACCCAAACTCGTGAAGATAAAAGCACAGTAAACCTAAAAATAAGTAGAAGGATATGGTAAGGATAAGAGCGGATAGTAATAAAGTTGAAAGCCAAAAGTAAGAAAAGTAACAAAATTAAAGGGTATTACCTTTAAAAACTAATAAAATAAATAAGCCTCTACTAGCAGGAATTACTAATACTAAAAATAAAAGTCACAGTTAAACAGTATTAAGAGTTAAAAGGAAATATAACTATATACATATAATAAAAATTTTAGAAAAATTTTCATGACAATTTCAGACAAATGTATTGGAGAACATTAATAAATAATCTTTAAGAAAAATATAAATCACTTAAATGACATAGGAGAAACAGACGAGCTAAATGAAAGAGAAGCATCAAAAAATTGAATCAGTAATGAAAATCTCTAACTTCTTTTCCTTCTAAGATCACAGGCTTCGTTGGCTTAACAGTCAAGCCTTATAAATTCTTTAACCTTTGAAGAACAGATATTCCCTATCTTATACAAATAGTTGTGAAAAACAGTAAAAGAAGGAAGTCTACCCAATTTATTTCACAAGGGTAATAAAACCTTAATTAAAGTCACACAATAATAGGATGAGTAAACTACATTGTAGACCAGACTACCTATGAATATAGATATAATGTAAATTTCCAGTCAAAATGCAGGATTAGGGGCCAGATTTAATTTCCTCCCTGACACAACTAAAAACCAGACAAAATATATAAAATCGTATCCTTCAAAACATTAGACACCAGTAATAAAGGATAATAATACCGGGGAGCAGGGAAACAAATTACGTAAACACTATACTTTCTCCAGTTTGCTGCCAGGGTAGTTACCAGGCCATGGTGTATGGAAGGAGAATCTGGAGAAAGTTCAGAAATCTCTCCAATTTCAGGAGACAAAGGTAGGAGTCTGGGTAAGCCAGGTATCAAAAATTCACAGACTAGATTACCTGATAGGAAGAAGGTACACAGAACAATGAAGCTCTGAGGAGTGTCCCCTCAAATATTCAAGTAAATACTGTTCAGCACAGTGTGACAAAACTACCTGACTCCCAGAAAACAACCAACCGAAAAGAGTATAAAGAACTGGCATTAGACCAGAAACGGTGCCTGGTTCCAGTGGCAAAAAAGGAAATCTCACAATTCTGAGGGCATGTATTAGAGTTCTAGAAAAGGTCTTGCTTCAGTAGTCAGGAAAAATGAACCCTAGACTAAATGCTGCCCCAGTCCTACCTAAGAAAGCTTAAAAGCAAGACCAAGAGGTTCAAGCTGTTTTAAAGTGACTTAAAAGAATCCAGGACAATGCATAGAAATACAGAGATATGTATAGGAATACAAAAACGTCTAGCCCCCCAAAAGGTAAAATTTATGAAGTTTGGATCTAGCCAAAAATTATCAGGAATTCAAAGAAACTAGGAAAAAGCTGACCAAAAAAACCCTCACACAGGTGATAGAATTGGTAGGTAAGGACACTGAAACAGTTATTATACTGCATTCTATATGTTCAAGAAACCAAAGGAAAGTTGAAATACATTAAATAGAGACAGGAAGGTAGAGAAAGATACAAATTGAACTTCTAGAGTTGAAAATTGCAAAGTAGGAGATGAAGAGATACACTGGATAAAATTCAAAGCAAATTAGACATCACAGAAAATCAATGAACTGAGAGACATAGCAATAAAAACTCTTAAATGAGGCAGAGAGAATAGAGACTGAAAAGGAATGAGCAGAGCATCAGGAAAACAGCCAAATATAAGTAAAACGGAGATTCCTGGATGAAGACAGACAGTGGGAAATATTTTGAGAAACAATGGCCTAATGTTTCCAAATTTGATGAGATCGCTAACCTACAGACCCAAGAAAATCAATGAACTGCAAGCACAAGAAATATGAAGAAAACAAAACTAAGGCACATTGTAATCACAGGGCTCAAAACTAGTGATACAGAGAAAACCTAAAAGGTAGCCAGAGAAGAGAGACATATAGAGAAACAAATGTGTAGATTCTAACAGATTTCTCCTCAGAAACAATGCAAGTGAGAAGACAGTGGAACAACATCTTGAACATACAAAAAGAAACAAAACAAAAACAGCCATCACCCTAGAATGTCATACCCAGTGAAAATATGGACAAAATAAAGACTTTTTTGGAAACAAATGTGGCAGTTTCTTGAAAAACTGAGTAGATACCTACCATATGACCTAGCCATTTCACTCCTAGGCATTTATCCAAGAAAAATGACAGCATATGTCTATACAAAGACATGTACATAAATGTTCATAACAGCTTTATGTATACTATCCCAAATCTGGAAACAACCAAGCGCCCACCAACATGTGACTAGATGAACAAATTATGGTATGTCCATACAGTGGAATACTATTCAGCAATAAAAAGAACAATAAAAAAAGAAGCTGTTCATAGATGTTAAACATGGATCTCAAAGTAATTTTGCTGAGTAAAAGAGAAGACAGAGAAAAAAGCTTACACGATATATTATTCTATTAATATAATATTTGAGGAAATGCAGACTAATCTAAAATGACAGAAAGCAGATCAATAGTTACCAGAGATTGCAAAGCAGATCAGTAGGAGAAGTTAGGGAGGGATGGAGGGATGGAGGGATGGAGGGATGGTATTACAAAGGGACACATAATAATTTTGGGGGTGGGGGATGATGGATACTTTATTTGGTTTTAGTGATGGTTTCAAGAACATATACATATGTTTTATCAAAGTGTACACTTTAACCATGTGCCTTTATTGTATGTCAACTATGCAATAAATGGAATTGTTTAAAATGGATGAAAAAATCCTGAATAAAAGATTAGTCGATTAAATTGCTATCATTAAAAAAGTTATACATCATGATCAGATGGGTTTACCTCAAGAATGCAGAATGGTTCAATACCTAAAAATTCTGGAAATGCAATATACTACTATTAACAGGTTAAAAGGGAAACATAAAACAATTATCTTAGTAGAGGCAGAATCTGATAAAATCCAATACTCATAATTAATAAGGAACTTTTGGTACAACTGAAACAGAAAGTAATTATCTTAACATAGTAGAGGTTGTCTATCAAAACCCTACAATAAATATCCCACTTAAAATTGAAATTTTAGGGGCGCCTGGGTGGTGCAGTCGGTTAAGCGACCTACTTCAGCCAGGTCACGATCTCGCAGTCCGTGAGTTCGAGCCCCGCGTCAGGCTCTGGGCTGATGGCTCAGAGCCTGGAGCCTGTTTCCGATTCTGTGTCTCCCTCTCTCTCTGCCCCTCCCCCGTTCATGCTCTGTCTCTCTCTGTCCCAAAAATAAATAAATGTTGAAAAAAAAATTTTTAAAAAAATAAAATTGAAATTTTAGGGGTGCCTGGATGGCTCAGTCAGTTGAGCATCTGACTTCAGCTCAAGTCATGATCTCGAGGTTCTTGGGTTCAAGCCCCCCATCAGGCTTTGTGCTGACAACTCGGAGTCTGGAGCCTTCTTCTGATTCTGCATCTCTCCCTCTCTCTCCCTCTCTCTCTCTGCTCCTCCCCCGCTTGTGCTCTGTCTCTCTCTCTCTTAAAAGTAAACATTAAAAAAAATTTTTTAAGTGAAATTTTAGAAGCACTTCCTTTGAAGTCACTTCTTTTACACATTGCACTGGAGGTCCTGTCAGTGTATAATTTTTAAAAATGAATAGGAAAAAAGCTAAAAAGAAATAGGTAAAACAGTTTTTATTTTCAGACAATATGATTACGTACACAGGGAATAAAAAACGAAGACTTTGTAAACAATTAGAAACAATAAGAGGAAGGTGCCTGGGTGGCTCAGTCAGTTGAGCATCTGACTCTTGATTTCAGCTCAGGTCATGATCTCACAGTTCGTGAGATGGAGCCCTGCATTGGGTTCTGCTTGGGATTCTCTCTCTCCTTTCTCTGCCCCTTTCTCCGCGCGCTCTTGCTCTCTCTCTCTCTCAGAATGAATAAATAAATAAACTTAAAAATAGAAATAAAAGATACTGTCAGGTGCCTGGATACAAAAATCAATACACCAAAAAACAAACAACACCACCAACAAAATAATACTTTTCCTGTAGACCTGGAATAGCTAATTAGAAGATGTAGAAAAAGAAAACAATTCACAATTGCAAAACATTTCTCCAATGTACTTTTTAAAAAATGTGTATTTATTCTTGAGAGAGAGACAGAGTGCGAAGTGGGGAGGGCAGAGAGGGAGACACAGAATCCAAAGCAGGCTCCAGGCTCTAAGCTGTCTGCAGGGAGCGGAGTCCGAAGCGGGCCGAACCCACAAACCATGAGATTACAACCTGATCTGAAGTCCAACACTTACCCGACTGAGGCACCCAGGATCCTCTCCAATGTACCATTATAACTGAAAAACTACAAGATCTATATGGATAAAATGACAAATATTTTTCCCGGAAAATTAGTTTTACTCTGTGGTTTGAAAGACTCAATATTTAAATTTTTTTCAATGTTTTATTTATTTTTGAGAGGAAGAGAGAGACAGAGAGCAAGTAGTGGAAGGGCAGAGAGAGAGGGAGACACAGAATCCACAGCAGGCTCCAGGCTCTGAGCTGCCAGCACAAAGACATGGGGCTCAAGCCCATGAACTGTTAGCTCATGACCTGAGCCAAAGTCAGATGTTTAACCAACTGAGCCACCCAGGCGTCCCTGAAAGAGTCAATATTTAATATGAAGGTTCAGTGCAACGCTAGTCGGAGACTCCAATGGGATATTTTGTCAAATTTGACAAGTCAATCCTGAAATGAGTATGTTAGATTCAAGAATAACCAGGAAAGAAATTGGGAGTATTTTCCCTGTTGATGATAAAACTTATAAATCGATCATAATCAAGACAGAGATGTAATAGCTCTGAGAGAGAAATAGACAAATGGGGCAGAATAGAGAACTCAGACACTGATCCTCACGCATAGAGAGCTTGACGTATGACATAGGTGTAGTTACAAATCAGTGCAGCGAAGACAGACTGCTCAGTAACTGATGTGGGGATAGCTGGTTATCTGGGGAAGAAAAAGATCACCACGTTGCCCCATATACAAAAAATAAACTGTAGTGGAATAAAGACTAAATACCTAAATTTTAAAAAACAAAAACACACCAGGTTTTAAGAAGAAAATACATGAGGATCTTTATGACTTTGGAGTCAAGAAATGTATAATATTCAGAAAGCTGGGACCATAATGGGATAGAAATACACCAAAATTTAGGACTTCTGTATACTAAAAGGTACCCCGTAAAAAAGACAAGCCATAGCCCTGGAGGTGATATCTGCAACCTAAACAACAAAGAATTAATATCCAGATACAGAAAGAGCTATTAATAAAAAAGGAACACCAAGCCTTTAAAAAAATGAATATCTGGGGCGCCTGGGTGGCGCAGTCGGTTAAGCGTCCGACTTCAGCCAGGTCACGATCTCGCGGTCCGTGAGTTCGAGCCCCGCGTCGGGCTCTGGGCTGATGGCTCAGAGCCTGGAGCCTGTTTCCGATTCTGTGTCTCCCTCTCTCTCTGCCCCTCCCCCGTTCATGCTCTGTCTCTCTCTGTCCCAAAAATAAATAAACGTTGAAAAAAAATTTTTTTAAAAATGAATATCTACAGGAATTTACAAAAGAGGAAACCTGAAGGTCCATTAAGCACACAAAAACTGTTCAAACAGTTACCAGGGAATAGAAATTAAAACAATGAGATTTATCATTCACACTTCCTGTTGGCCAGAAGGTAGAGAAAGGAGCGTTGTCATATACTGCTGGAAGGAGGGCAAATGGGCAGAGTACCCATCATCCATTTTGGACAGGATTTTCACAATGTCAGACGTGAAAACTTGCCTATACTCTATGATCTTCCAGTTCTGCTCATAGTGTTTATCACCTACTAGTAAGAGAAACTTGCAGTCTGACTTACACGAAAGGAAACTTGTAGAATGCTTATGGCAGCATTGTTGGCAAAGGCGAAAAATGAGAAGCAATTTAAATGTCAATCAATAGGAAAATGGATACATTTTAAATGAGATATTTTTATACAACAGACTACCATAGACAAAGAAAATGAGTAAATTAAAGGTATAGGAAAACAAATAAGACATGAGACTGAATACAGATATATGGCAGAATGATACATTATGTAAAGTTCAAGAACACACAAAAGATATACGTGGTTTATGGATAAAAACATATGTGGGAAAATTATAAAAACTTTGAAAGAATGATAAATACCCAAGTCATGAAAATAACACATCAGGGGAGGGTGGGGAGGGGCCATGAGATTGAGGGGCACAACCAGAGGTCTCTACATATATCTGTAATTCTTCTTCTTCTTCTTTTTTTTATAAAACTCTATTTTAAAAAATTTTTTAGTTTATTTATTTTGAGAGAGAGAGAGGGAGCGAGCACAAGCAGGGAGGGGCAGAGAGAAGGAGAGACAGAATCCCAAGCAGGCTCTGCACCATCAGTGAGATCATGTGAGATCATGACCTGAGCCAAGACCAAGAGTCAGATGCTTAACCAGATGTGCCAACCAGGTGGCTGCTTCTTAAAAATAATGCTTTTAATGCTTCTTCTTAAAAAATAGCTAGCATGAATAAGGCAAAATGTTAACATTGGATAAAGCTGGGTTGTGGAATACATGGGTGGGTTTGTTTGTTTGTTTGTTTTGCATTATTCTCTGTACTATTGAGTATGTTTGAAAGATTTCCTTTTCTGAAGTGAGAGAAGCTTAAGATTGTTCATCTAGTTAGTGGCAAAACTGGGATTTAGACAAGGAGTATAACTGCTGAGCCTTACTATCCTACAGTGCCTTTCTGAAATTGGCACATGAATGATGTAATATGTGTATATACAGATCCGTACACTACATAGATGTATGGTGATATATGTAAGTCACACTTAGCACTTAGCATATTGGGTGGCACATCAAAACCATTCAACAAATGGCAGCTATTATAACCATTGATTTATATTAGTAATTGCTATTTATATTGGTATGTTTTGTAGCCTTTGTAATTGTATGTTTATGTATATGTAATGTGTATATTCTTCTAGACCCACATCTTACACATCCCAAATACTTATACAAACAGTGACCATGTCAGCAGAAACAATGATGGAGTTTAATCCTCAGTGTGGCTAGCCAGGTCCTATATGCCTTCAGGATTACTTCTAGAAATTGTGAAGGGCAAAGTAAGAATTCATTCATTTACTTAACAGCATTTATTGAGTGCCTATCATGTCACTAAAACTGGGGATCCACTAACAAACAAGACGAAAAAAGAAACCAGGTCCCTGCCACAGGTGAGAAGCACTATTTAATAGTGTAGCGTAAAGCAAGCCAGATACGTGATTGTAAATTTTCTAGTAGCCACATTTACAAAATTAAAAGAAACAGGTGAAAATCATTCTACTGATGTATTTTACTTACTTTAATGGATCTGAAATTTCATCACTTGAATACGTGATCAACATGCAAATGTAATGACATAGTTCACATTCTTTGTGCCAAGCTTGGTAACCTAGTGTGTATTTCACACTTATCCCAAATCCCACTACACACTCAACATGTTTCCAGCATTCAGTAACCATGTGTGGCCAGTGGCTGCAATGTTGACCAGGGTCTTTCGTGAGCGGATTAGTCAGATGAGAAGCAATTCAGAAAGCATGCAAGTTGAGGTAAGTGGTAAAAGCAAAGGAAACTGCAGGCTGAGACATAACATAACTGGGTAGTAGGAGTGGGGTAGGCATACTTTAGGCTTAAGGAACGACTTTCTGAATAAGTAGCTTGAGCTTGCACCTGAAACACAAGCCAGCGGCAAGCAAGATGAGGAATGTACCCTTTGCTGCAATCCTACCGTGCTAGGTGCCCTGTTTTACAATAGGACAGGCAAGAATGTTCTTAAAGAATCAATCTGTGCCAAAAGAGGGCCTCTGATGCTAATAAATATATGAATAAAAAAACAGATAGCGGTTGTTAAAATAAACTAAGATTTTTGGTTCTTCTTAAATGATAAGAATTACACTGAGCATCACTTTTCCAAACAAATATTCTCTTCTGGTGAAATAATAGATGACACATGCATGATCTGTATTGCATTTGGATATGAATGAAACTTCACATAATATGACATAAATTATCTAAGTGCTTCTGATCGGGATGGTCAGCTCACCTTTGGGCCTTGTACTCCAATTCCCACTGGCCCTCTAGGACCTGTAGCTCCTGTTTGGCCTACTTCTCCCTAGTGAGGAAAGAGTATTTGAAGAGTATATGACTACAACAGTAAAATAAAAATAATATATTCCTGCCTTAAGAGCTAAGTGCTCTCTTACAACAACACAATAAGATAAAACAGAGCTTTATGTCCTCAATTCATATATGTGTTTGAGTATATATATAGTAAATATATATTGATTATATTATTAATATCAATGCTCACAATATGTTGTAATGTAAAATAAGAAAATATGTGAATATATTATGTTTTTAAGTATATGTTTCTATGTAATTCAAATATATGTATGCATATATATGTGTGTGTGTGTGTGTATATATATATATATATATATATATATATATATATATATATATGCCTAAAATCCCTTTAGGTAGATGGAGTTGTGCCAAATTTGGAATATATAATGGGCTGGCTTAAAATACAGGCTAGGTAGCATACTTAAAAGGTGGAGGGCACCTGGAATATAGGCAGTTACATTCCACATTAACTAAAATTGACACATGAGAAGCCCAAGTGACTGCTAATCAAGGGCAATATCGTGAACAGACAGAATGACCTGAGCTTCCAATGGTGAGCCCAGATCAAAAGTCTCAAGGACAGTAACTTTATGCCGTCAAGTGCTTCTCACATGGGAATCTCTAAGGAGTGTACTGGAAGGTGACTACTCTCAGAGGAGTATTTATTTAATAATCATTAGTGACCATTTGAAGCAACATTAAGTATAGCTAGTTAAATAATAAGTGCCATGCCTCTCCCTAAGGATAAATAATAGCTGTTAATTTAGGACATAATAAGATTCCCATGTTCACAGAAAAGTTTTATGTATTTCTGACTCCATATCTTTAATTAAATGTTTCAGGAGTTTGACCTATTGTGGGAGTGTTGGTTAGAATGAATTAGCAAGCCCACAGGTGGCATCTACTGACAATCCTCCTTGAATTGCTAGAATAGGATCTCTTGAGAAAATGTAATAAAACAGTATATTAAGACTGCATAAATAAATGTGTCTAAGAGCATAAAGAATACACATTACCTTATCTAAACCATCAGGAATATCCATAATGTTTTGCATTAAGTAGAAATCTGATGTTTAAGTTCATTTCATCTACTGCTTTCCCAGTGCACTGGCTCCTGACCAGGAAACAGCAATAGACTATGGATGTACTAAACTCTGCTTTCATTTAGAAAGTTACCTTGGGGAAAGAAGGAAAGAAAGAAAGAAAGAAAGAAAGAAAGAAAGAAAGAAAGAAAGAAAGAAAGAAAGAAAGAAAGAAAGAAAGAAAGAAAAGAAAGAAAGGGAGAGAGAGAGAGAGAGAAAGAGAGGAGGGAAGGAAGGAAAGAAAGAAAAGAAAGAAAAAGAAAAGAAAGAAAGTTACCTTAGAACCAGGTGAGCCTTGTCCTGGGGGCCCTTGTGGACCAGGTGGACCCATAGGACCTTGGATTCCCTTTAAAATAAAATGTTTAAAAATAGTATTAGTGAAATTCAGAAATTTTGATAAGACTAGTTTCATATCCTCTAACATGAAATTTTAGTTCACATCACATAATACATTACTCATCCTCAATATTTGTTGAATGGCATGGCAGAGGCGGCTAGTTGAACCATAATATGCATTCTCCCCTTTATCCATAGTAAAAGAATTTTAGCTGACCTGCATGGCTGCCTAGAATAATGACCATATTTCCCAGTCCCTTGTGCAGACAGGCATTGGCATATGGACTGGATTCTGGCCAATGGGATATGAATGGAAGTGATGTGTGCAATTTCTGATTCATGACAAAGGAGGAAGTATGCCTTCCCCTTCCATGTTCCCCTGCCCCAGTGGCTGAAGTGAAGACATACTGGTTATTGTGGATCCTGTGGATGAGGAAAGTACCCTTGGAAGGGCAGACTCATAAGAATGAAGAAGACCAAACCCCTGAAGACCCTGATGAGCAGAGCCACCACACCAGCTTGGAGTTGCAAATAAGAGAAACAAAATTCCATCTTGCGAGCTTATTTCACATCTCAGTCTCATGCAGGCAAACCTATATTCTAGTTGCATCAATGAAAATATATCAGGATATTAAGTTGAAGGTTTGGCCATAGGCTCTAAGAAGCAATTAGACATCAAATTGAAGAATGTTCAAACACTAGACTCTCACTCACATTGTGGATATAAAAAGGGGAAAGAGACAGGATTTAATAAGTTCTTTGGAGAAAGTAGTCTTACAAAGCATTTTCTTTGCAGAAAATGAGAGGGATTTGGGTTGCTTCCCTCTTTAGCCTATTCTAGAGAGGGAGCTTCAGTGAAACCACTTATTGACCTTGATTTTTGCTTTGGGGACACAAGGGACCTTTGTCTGCCTCATACCTGGGAGAGCTAAAATGGACTATGATGGTCAAGAGGGGCATGGGTGGGGTCAGCGGGGGGAGCAATCAGCCCATCCATCCAGGGTCTGTCAGCACAAAGGCCACACTAGTTTTTTTCTGTGGACCAGATGTACTCTAGATGAGAGACAGGGTTGGCCTGGAATTGTTTTGAATCCTGGCCAAGAGGACCTGGAGGAGCTGTGGAACTCCAACAGAGAGAGTCAGTATTAAATGAACCCCCAGAAAAGCAGAGGTTGATGGGGAGAAATGACTGGAGCAAGAGAGTTCTTCATCCATGTCCCGAAAGTGGCAGTCACAGGGGCAAGGCAGGAGCCCCACAAGGAAACTTAGTGTCAAACATCAGTCAAGACCAGAGTATCCGAAGCCATGTGACAACAGACCAGCCAGGAAAGAACCTCTGTGGCCTCCCCCCTCTACCCTCACCCTTGACTCAGCCTGGGAGGGATGAGAAGCACGGTCCCTCCCACGGACCACAGGCTCTCCCTACAGCTCATACCAGATGAATGAAGATTAAAAGGAAAATTAACATATTGACTAGATAATTTGCATTACATAATTAAAACTGTGATTTACAACTTAGAGGTGACACAATAAGTTTTATTACCTAAAAGTGATAAGAAAAGACTGAGGCTTGTTGGTAATTTCTTCCAGAAAAAGAAAAAACTTTCCCCACTGGAAAATATTTAAGGGATGATGAGGAAAAAACTAAAATTTTATTTCACTTACACCTCACAAGCCATGCTTGCATAATAATGGTTATAGATATATGATTGGTTTATTACAAATGACATCCCCTTTTCTCCAGCTGGATGATACAACTGCTGTTTATTTTTTAATTATAAACACGATTCCCCTTTTCTCTGGTTAATGAAGATGAAGCAGCGTAAACAATTTAAGAAAGCTAAGGTTATTATAATAAGGAATTAAAATGTTATTATTAGAAGGAATCATTTACAATAGTCTACAAGTAGCATGGTATGTGACAAGGAACCAAAAAATTCGAAGGGTTATGTGCACTTATGTGTATGTGGTTATTTGTATTTCACTCCAATTTGTAACAGAGTTGAAGTTGTCAGGCCTCCAAACATTTAATGAAAATCTGCCGGCCACTTGAGTCATATTATAAACCTGTTCCTGAAAACAAGAATTCCCTCCAAAACAGATGACTGGGAAAATTCATTTCTATAAGAGAATTAGGGAGATCTAGCAACAACAATCATTCCGTGGGTAAACATGTTCAATTAAGGATAAGAAGAAAAATGAATAACTGTATAAGTGGAGGTTAAATGTAAGTAGGATTTAAATCATTTGTCTTAAAAGGGCAAATGATTTCTTTTCTTATTTAAAGCAGTTTATAAATAACACATTCTATTCAATCTCCTACCGATAGGGGTCAGCTCCTAATAGACAGGTCTACCTTAAAAGTTATCTTCTCTTGGAAAAGGAGAGAAAGGGGTGAGAAAACAAAAGAAGTCAGAGATGTTTTTTAACGTGAAGCACAACAACATCCACCGAGATCCAGTAGTAAAGGCAATAGGAAGTTGCAGGTGGGATCCAGGATTTACAGGCCATCTGGAAAGATTTGGCTTTTTTTTGGACCTAATTTTCAGGCCTATAGTGGTAACTCAGCACCAGGACCACAAGACTCAGGAAGCAACACGACTGTCCAGTCACATCCAGGACCAGAATGTAAGCCTGTATGAAATTGGCAAATAAACTACAAAGTGTGAGACTGCTTGATGCCGTAGTCAAACCATAATCCTTATGTAATCAAAATATCCAGCTCTTAATTATTATCTAAATACTTATATACAGACTTATCTTGGCTTTTCCTGCATCTTAACCTTCCTAATGTATTACACTAGGATTTCTACAAAGAGAAAGGAAATGGAAAGAGGAGTTATATCCAGATTTGCTGTTGCTTAGATTAACAATAACAACAACAAAAATACTAATTAATTACTAGATGTTTAGAAATAAACCCAGAGTTAATGTCAACAATGAGATTTGGAATTATCCTTTTTTAATCCTCTTTTCCCATTGTCCTAGATAAAGGAAGCACTGTTCATTCTCTAGGCAATGGAATAATTCAAACCTTAATCATAAATCTTAATCAACAGATTGGCTACTTTCTATGCAGGAGGACATTCAGCATAAATTTGGATTTGTTCGTCACGTTGATTAAATGAGATTCTGTAGGTAGATAGTACTATTATATTATTTTTGTATTACTCAGATCTAACAAAATGGCCCATCTTTTCCAAAAGTTACGGTCAGAAGATTTGGGAAGCAGTTCCAGGCGTGAATGTAGAGACATCCTCAGAGTGCTTTCCTTTCTTCTGACCGAGGGAGGCCAAATGTTATTTATAAACCCTCTCTGTGATTTGCTTCTATTCAGGAACAGTACCCGTTAAATTAAGTGGTTACCTCTGATTCTGGTGTTGGTTTTAAGTTTAATACTTTTTTAAGATTGGTACATGGCTGGGGAGTAGGAAAGACTACTCTATTGGCATTGGGAGAAAGTGGGATCTAGTCATTCACAAAGCCTCAAGGGGAAAATACACAAACCCACAGGTAAATAAACCACTGCTCCTAAGGAAAACTAAAAATATAAACTCAATCTGAAACTCATCCTGTTAATTAGACATGAAGGTTAAAAGTCACAGCTCCAAGAAGCACACATTTTATTTTTTAAGTCTTTGGAAGTTCTAGAAAATAAAATCTCATAGAACCATCTTTTCCTTCCCTACACTTACTTTTGGATGTACATCCCCTTGTGCTTTGACTATCAAATATACTCAGAGGTGTTTGCAGGACTGGCTTTCAATGAACAGTAGGATTTGGCCAGAATGTTCCTTACTGAGAGGAAAGGGAGAAAGCTTGGATTACCTGTTCCCCTTGACTCCCAATTCCAGGGATGCCCATTGGCCCTTGGGGTCCCGCAGGTCCCAAATCCCCCTGTGTTGAAAATAAGAGAGAAATATAACAATAAACCTCATTCTTTCATACTTTGCTAATCTTGAATTATGCTGAATTGAAATCCATCTGTAGCATAAAACGGTTCAACATAAAAAGTTAGAAAACTCTTTCTTTTAAACAGTTTATGGTTCAAGTTTGCCAAAGTAGTGAATGATAGTTTCACTGTTTAGTCTAAATTGGTGACTATTTGCACATGTTTGTATTTATCAGTCATTTTTCTCACAGGAACACAAAATTCCTAAATGGTTGTTATAATGACACAACTGCTTCCTGTTAGGATTATAACAAATATTTAAATGTATAATATTCATTGGGTACAAAAAAATCAGGATTTGAGAGAGAACTTGAAGAGAAATGTTTCAAAATTATCTAAATACCTTTCCCCTCCACATCTTATAAAAATATGCCTTAAAAATTAAGAAGTTATTTAAGGTAAATGCAACAGAACTGAAGAACCTCACCTTTCCTTTCTCTGAAATAAATTTGGGAAGCAAAGTGAGAGTTATCAGCAAGAAGAACACTATCATTCATTCTTTGTGTGTTTCAGCAGGTACCCGTGAGTGCCTATTATGTGCTAGGAATTATTCCAAATGCTGGGGAAGCAACAGTGACCTAAGCAGCCAAAAGTCTCTGTTCTCATGGGGCTTACATTTTAGTGGGAAAAACAGAAGACAGTAAACAGGATAGATAAAATAAATAATATGTTAAAGAATGATAAGAGCTAAGCAGAAAACTAAATCAGGGAAGGGGGGGGACAGCTACAATTTTGCATAAAGTGGCCAGAGATGACCTCATTGGAGAGAGAAAATGAATCCAGTAGAAACATAGAAAAAAAGCATTCCAGGCAGAGTAAACATCCACTGCAAGGATGATGATGCCGGAACAGCCCAGAACAGCAAAGACACAATGTGTTGCATATTTTATCTTATTTTTTATTTTTATTTTTTTAAAGCAGGTTCCATGCCCAATGTACGGCTTCAAGTCACAAACCCTGAGATCAAGAGTCGCATGCTCTATCAACTGAGCCAGCAGGCCCCCCAGATATTCAAATGTCAGTTGTATTTAGGCTGTATCAAGGTCCATAAACTTTTTCTTACAGGGTTGGATAGTAAATATTTTATTCTCAAGGACCGTAATAAGGTCTCTATCATAATTAACGAATGCTGCTTTGGTAGTGCAAAAGCAGCCCCAGCCAATACCTAAATGAACAGGTGTGCCTGTGTTCTAAAAACACTTTATTTATAAGAACAAGCAGCCAGCCCTAGTTTGCCAATACCTGGGCTAAATAAATATGTTTTTATAAACAAATTTGTATCATCATTAGTAAATTAAACTAAACTCATAGAACCATAGTTCTGTTGTACTCAGTTCTCACTGCTCCAAAGGAAGAAAGAGCATCTTTACATATTTTTAGGAGCTAGAGCTACAACCAGGGCTGAGCAATTCGAGCCAAGAACTGTATTACAACTAAAATTGGTATAAGTCACTTTTTACCAGTATCTCTGCTATTTAAATACAGATATGTGGAAGAGACAGTTACCAGTAAATAAAAGAAATAAGTAATTCAAAACTGAAACACAAGACCCAAGATAATCATGAATCTAAGTCATTATTGTAATATATAAAATCTGATGGCATGCTTAGAAATTAACATACATGACTCCAAATTGGTATGAATTCTGTTTTTTGCACATTTCTTATATCCTCTCCCCCCCTCTGCAGCTTTCTGTTCCCTCTGGTCTGTTGGGCCTTATCAGCCTCCAGCAGCTTCTATCAGCAGCCTCAATACCACTTCTAATCTGGGGACAATCTGTAGCTATTTTAAAGAAGACAAGTAACTAGTGAGAAAGAGACAAGCAATGGCAGGTAGGCCATGGTGTTGTGTTGAACATAAACGGTTTTACAGGCTACCAGTATCAGATATGAACATTCTATGTAATGAACCAAGACAAAAGCAAGAGGAGTCTATAGCCATGTCTGAACACAGACAAAAACAAAAAACAATATCCAAACAACCCATTCCTGGACAAATGATCAAACATCCCCCTATTTGAGCTAAAATGAATGGCTATTTCTTTACAAATTATACCTAAACCTTACTCCATTTTTCCCACCTCCTAGATAAGACTCATTAAAATATCCAATCTTAAAATTACCTCACCTTAAAATTACCTGCAGTGTCCAATCCAAACCCAACCTATACTTTCTTAGACACTCCCCAAATCACCTAACACAAGTCCAAGTCCTATAAAGAAAACTTTCATCTTCTTACTGAGTAGTGATGGGTTCCCCATGGTATGTGGTCTCCCTCACTGCAATGAGTCTATAAAACCTAACTTTGTTCAACTATAGGTGGATCCCTGTTGGTCCTTGTAGGAGGGCACCAACGCTAGGTTTCTTAAATAAGTTCTCTTATTTTAGTCCCATTTTTTAAAGTTTATTTAACTTGAGAGAGAAAGCAAACATGAGCAGGGGGAGGGGCAGAAAGAGAGGGAAAGAATCCCAAGCCAGACACAGGGCTCAATCTCACAAACCATGAGATCATGACCTGAGGTGAAATCAAGAGTCGGATGCTTAACTGACTGAGTCACACAGGTGCCCCAGTAATATTTTTTTGAGTGAGCATCTAAGGATGGACATGCACTTTCTGTAATAGGTCAAGTAAATATGTTTTTAAAAACTATTTTCTTTGGGGCGCCTGGGTGGCGCAGTCGGTTAAGCGTCCGACTTCAGCCAGGTCACGATCTCGCGGTCCGTGAGTTCGAGCCCCGCGTCGGGCTCTGGGCTGATGGCTCAGAGCCTGGAGCCTGTTTCCGATTCTGTCTCCCTCTCTCTCTGCCCCTCCCCCGTTCATGCTCTGTCTCTCTCTGTCCCAAAAATAAATAAACGTTGAAAAAAAAAACAAAACTATTTTCTTTACTAAGAAGGGGTCTGTTTTGCTCATGTTTGTCTACAAAGCTGGTTGTCTGAAGATAGTTTTACTGGAAGTCAAAACCCAAATAAATGAGCCATTACTGTAAATATAAATGATGGGATTTTTCAAATCATAATTCATCTCACATAACAATAAACCCTGCATATACTTGATTTATAATAACCTGGATCCCTGTGTGATAGGGTTGTCAGGTTGAATACAGTTCATAAATGTACATGCATAAAGAACAATGACTAAAAATAATTACACTGGTGCATCTTTCCTATTGTATACTCCATATGCAGTACCTTGTCCCCTTTGATTGACAGGCCTTGTAATCCCTGTGGGCCAATTGGTCCTTCAGAGCCTTTTTCACCCTAAAAATATATATGGGAGGAATATCAGTATACTAATAAAAATCAGGATTTAAAAACAGTTGAAGCATCCAAAGCATTCAAATTCACTATTCACTGCAAATGGGTCATTCTAGCGGACCCCAAGATTTGTAACTTGCAAAATACACATAATTAGGTTTAATACTATTAAATAGGAAGGAATCTATCCAAACAGAACATGTACGCAGCATCACTAACCTTGGAAAAGAACTCCATTCCCAATATAATCAGAAATATCTAGAAATGGGGGGCCTAATTAATCATATAGTACAACAAACTGTACTCCCTCCACTCCCTCAACACTGATGCAGCTATAGGTCCATCACACAATGAACATTTGTCTCTCATATTAGAATATGAGCTAATACTTGCTTGTACTGAATTACTTGTCATATGTTTTATATCATAATTTATAAACATTCATTGAAAATTTAGTTTGTGTGTGTGTGTGTATTTTTAATATAATTTATTGTCAAATTGGTTTCCATACAACACCGAGTGCTCATCCCAACAGGTGCCCTCCTCAATGCCCATCACCCACTTTCCCCTCTCCCTGACCCCTCCATCAACCCTCAGTTTGTTCTCTGTATTTAAGAGTCTGTTACGGTTTGCCTCCCTCCCTCTCTGTAACTTTTTTTTCCCTTTCCCCTCCCCCATGGTCTTCTGTAAAGTTTCTCAAGATCCACAGATGAGTGAAAACATATGGTATCTGTCTTTCTCTGACTGACTTATTTCACGTAGCAAAATACCCTCAAGTTCCACCCGTGTTGCTGCAAATGGCAAGATTTCATTCTTTCTCATTGCCAAGTAGTATTCCATTGTATGTATAAACCACATCTTCTTTATCCATTCATCAGTTGATGGGCATTTAGGCTCTTTCCATAATTTGGCTATTAGTTTTTAGGAGAATTCATAGAAAATATTCTTGGGTAGATTTCTATAGTCATGTGACCTACGTGAATAGCTCTGGTCGTGATGGCATACCAATGAAATCATGACATTCTGTGCTTTTGTATGAAAAATAAACCATATAATCAATTAGAAATAGCTTTTGTTTCATGAATTTGTTTAAGCCAAGGGTAAAATCAAAGAACACTTGCAAGAAACCTAGGAAACAATAAACCTTCAAGTCCCTCTAGATTCATAATTTATTCACTTAAGCTCTATACCAGTGCAAAGTAACCCCATGTACCACATATAGAAAACTCCCCTTGGTCCTGCTGGTTGGGGAATGAGGTATTCTGACTAATGGTTTCTTCCGATCATTACCACAGAGTACAATTATATACAATCAACCCTAAAATAACACTGAATATAATGTATTCTTTCTGGGATGAGGGTAACACAGTGCTGTGGGTTATTGTGAGTGTATTATTATAACATACAGTTAAACCTGTCACTAAGACACACCCTGCAATATGCTTCTTGTATTTCAATTATTCATTATTTATTTATTCATTCATTTAAAATGTTTTTATTTATTTATTTTGAGAGAGAGAGACAGAGAGCATGTACACAGGGAAGGGGTAGAGAGAGAAAGGGAGAGAGAATCCCAAGCAGGCTCCACACTGTCAGCACAAAGTCTGATGTGGGACTCAAAACCACGAACCATGAGATCATGACCTGAGCCAAAATCAAGAGTTGAACACTTAATCAACCAAGCCACTCAGGTGCCCCTCTTATTTATTTATTTATTTATTTATTTATTTATCTTAAAACCCCCCACAGATTGTAAAGAGAAATAACCCTGGATATTTGAATTTCCCAGGTTGTTTGGACTACACATAAACAGAAATTTTCTATGCCAAAAAAAAAAAAATCAAGAAAGTATGTATTATAAAACTTCCTGAAATGTAGTGCTAAGTTGCTAACATCTGTCTTCTGAGAGTGATACTCTGATTAAGTCAGGGCATTAGTAATGTCCCTTTTATCCTACATATTATTCCCACTTATTGTGACAAATTAAAGTCTGTTAGTTAATGAGGGCCTCTTTTAAAATTCAACCCAGCAGTCACAACTTAGTGTAAATTAGGTTTTAACTAGTTGATTTCCCTCTAGTGGAGATTCAGGTTTCTCATAGACAATAGAATATTGATCATGGTGGAAAAGGCTAAGAATTAGATGCAATTCTAGAGCATGAGGCTATACTGAGATGGTGAGATCTTAGCAATCTGACTGACTAAAGTGGAAATTCTTAGACACTTAAGAAAACAGCCTGTGCAGGGCACAGGTTGGCTCAGTTGGTTAAGCATCCAACTCTTGATTTCGGCTCAGATCATGATCTCATGGTTAGTGGGTTCAAGCCCACATTGGGCTTCATGCTGGCAATGCAGGGCCTGCTTGGGATTCTTTCTCTCTTTCTCTTTCAAAAATAAATAAACACAAGAAGAAAAAGAAAGAAAGAAAGAAAGAAAGAAAGAAAGAAAGAAAGAAAGAAAGAAAAGGAAGGAAGGAAAGAAGAAAGAAAGAAAAGAAAAGAAAAGAAAAGAAAAGAAAAGAAAAGAAAAGAAAAGAAAAGAAAAGAAAGAAAACAGCATGTGCTTCCCTGGGCGGTGCATGTGTGCATGCATGTGTGTTTGGGGAAAGACTTTAGAAAGAAGGAAAAAGAACCCCCAAATGTTTTCTTAGTTACTGAAATTTTGTTGATGCTGCCCAAAGTGTCTTGCAAAATCATTTCCTGGGGCGCCTGGGTGGCGCAGTCGGTTAAGCGTCCGACTTCAGCCAGGTCACGATCTCGCGGTCCGTGAGTTCGAGCCCCGCGTCAGGCTCTGGGCTGATGGCTCAGAGCCTGGAGCCTGTTTCAGACTCTGTGTCTCCCTCTCTCTCTGCCCCTCCCCCGTTCATGCTCTGTCTCTCTCTGTCCCAAAAATAAATAAAACGTTGAAAAAAAAAGAAAAAAAAAAGAATTTCAATTAAAAAAAAAAATCATTTCCTGTGTGGCCTTTGGTAGATTGTGGGTAAGTAGCCTCGACCAGAGGTCAGCAAATTATAGCCCACTGGCCAAATCCAGCTCACTGCTTACATTTTTTGGCAAATACAGCTTTACTGGAATACAGTCACGCTCACTCATTTATACGGAGCTGATGACTGTTTTCATGCTACAACAGCATAAGTTAAGTAGTTGCAACAGATACCATACTGCTCACAAAGCCTCAAATATTTATTATCTTTCCCTTTATGGAAAAAGTGTGCCAACCCCAGAGGGTTCCTCAAGGAACCAAGGTTCCCAGGGGAACTTGAGCACCAAGAATTATACATGGGAAGCAATAGAAGCATTTAAATTCTCAATTGCCAGGTAAAAGGTATGTTTTTCATAGTTTTTGCTCCTTATTATAACAAGGTAATTCCAGTGCCCTCCTCCCTGCCATATTTCCTTTCTTATTATGCTAATGACAATGTGATTACAAATTGGTTTATTAGTTTCTTATCTATGTTTCACAAAACAAAGCTGTGAATACAGTTCTATGGTAGCTACGCTTGATAACTTCTGGGCATAACGATGCTATTTATCACTGTGACTTTAATGACTATAGATTACTTTAAGAGAGTTTTCTCATTTCACATGCAATAATTATATGAAGTAGAAGTCTGCCAATTAGTTATTTATAATTGCAAAATTCACCAGAGTTTCATGTTAAGGAAAAACTTACATCTTCCTTCATTTAATAGGGTGAAGGTGGTCAGGAAAATACTTGACTTCTGGTAATTGGCTAGGACCCATTTTTTTAAAGTTCTAAATCATGACCATGCAAGGCAAAGCATTTTTTTCATAGTACAGGAGTTGTTGTTACCTTTGGCCCTGGAAATCCTTCTCCTGGTAAGCCCCTCTCTCCTGGTGCTCCTTCAGGACCACGGGGACCCTGTTTGGATAAGAGGGAATGAGGAACAGGAAAAGAGAAAGAAAGAGAGAATGGGAAGTGGGGAGAGAGATAGAAGGAAGAAGGAAGAGAGAAAATGGTTATATTTTCGTTCGCATGGGCATGCAATGATATAGTCCTATTTATGTTATTAGTGAGAATCCTAGTAAATTCCATACTGATCAGCAGAATTGTAGAGTTGTGAAGAAGAATATTCCCATTGTATTACTCATTCCATTTGATTGGCATAAGATGTTCTATTCTGGTGTCCTCATATTAGAGGAAAATGCAAATTAAGTGATGCTTCGGAATAAGGATTAGGAAATAAATCCTTTGAGGGAAGTCTAAAAATCTAGCCACTGTGTGGCCTGGAGAAGGTTGCTGAGTGATTAAGTAATTTAAAAACATCAGGGGAACCCTGTGAAAAAATCACTGCACAGCTGCTTTAAAACATCGAATTCTGTTTACATGTGTTTTAATTTCTATCCTGACAAATTTGGATTCAAACTTGAATTCTTGAATTCTTTCGAGGACTGGTTGAGTCCACTGGGGGTTTGTGTGCAAATAGGAATCTTGATAGAATCATGCAGGGGAAGCATGGTTTTTGATCTCAGTGATTCAAATTAAAAAGTCCATGTAACTATTGCTCAGAAAGTCAGACGGTGAAGAGTTCTCACGTAAGTAAAGAGAAACAACACACTCTCTGGCTTTGAAGTGGACCGGCAGGAAACAAACTGATTGAAAAAGAAAAGACAACAGCAAGATATTCAATTAAAGTGGAAATTTTAAAAGGTTACGAATTTTCCCTCTCTTTATTCTTGGCCAGAAGGCATAAAAGTAGAAAAGGAACTTGGCCAAACTCTACTTGTCCCAGCCCAAAAAAAAAAAAAAAAAAAAAAAAAAGTAGAAAAGGAACTAACAACAAGAACCTTAGAAGCACAGATAGGAGCTTTTCCTCTAATGGATGTAAAAGAAAAATAATGAGGGCTTGCTTGCCAGAAAGTGAGCCTAGGACAGAACAAAGTCTACCGAGTTGCCCAGCAGCTCCAAAGCCAGCAAACGGCAGACACTGTGAATGATCTTCGGGCTCGATACACAGTAATCCGGGATAATTTAAGAGGTGCTTTCTACTGAGCCTGGGAGCAGAGCTAGGATTCAGCATTATGCTAATCAGTGACTGATCACAGTTATAGATTTATAAAAAAGAAAGCTAATTGTATCCCGTGTTCAAATTTTTTTTGCCTTCCCCTATTATTGTATATTTTAAAAGACAGTCTTCTTCAGTATTTATGCATAACCAATTTCATAAAGACTTTAATTAAAGAAAAAAGCTAACATTTAATTCAATTTAAATTGCTATGCTTATGGGAAACCTAGCTTTTAACAGTCCAAGACCTTAATCAAAGCACTAATATCCATGATAGCTTACTCTAACGTTAGAGTGATTAACTAGGGGAAAAATAAATATAAGCATGAAAACTAGATTGCAAATCAAAGAGTAAGTGCCTAGCTAATATCATATGCTTTAACCAAAAAAAAAAAAAAAAAAAAAAAAAAAAAAAAAAAAAAAAAAAAAATGACAAATGATTCCTCTTCCCTAATGATAAAACAAATGAAAATAACACAATTTACATTCAATGCAAAGAAGTCTTTTTCCAGTTCACTCAATTTTTTCCATTCATTCAGCAAATACTGACCAAATGCCTAGTAAGTGCCAGGCAGTGTGCTAAGTTCTGGGAACAGCAGGCAGACCTGCTCCCTGGTCTCCTAGAGCTTACAGGCTTTCCTGACAATTATACTGTCATATGGACTGAGGGTCAAGTCCCAGCTCGGCTATGTGTTAGCAGTGCGAACTTGGACAAAGAATTTAATCTCTCTAAAGTTCAGCGTCCTCATCATGATGGTGGTAACAATAGTACCTACCCGAACCATGAGTATTAATATATGGGTTAGGTCAGAGAGACTTAAAGCTCTTAAATATTGAGCACTTAATAAACATCTGCCATTACTATCGAAATTATTTTATTTGAATCTTGTGATGGTGAAGAATGTCCTTCCAGGGCATTATGAATAAGTTAGCCTCGGGGTGAATGGTTTACAGTAAGCAATATGGAGAGAGGGCTGCTACGTGGCATAAACACCCAGCCCTCCTTTCATCTCTGCATTTCTAGAGTACACAAGCCAAGATGAGACTGAAAACATGGGAGGCTTTGATGAGCCATGTGTTCCAAGCTGCAGAGAACAGAGAACTAATACTTGTGAGTAATTGCTTAAAGGCATTTAAAACAACAGTGATCCAAAATTTAATTATTGCCAACCGTCAGAGGAACAGTCTGTATTATCAGAGTATTCTCATATTTTACAGCAAAGCAGAATGAAAGGTGACTGCTTGGTTAAGAGAAAGAGCAGGTACTCGGGTAGATGAACTATACTTTACTACGACAGAACCCATGGATTATTTCTAAAAGACAGAAATGCTTCTATAAAAAACTCACAGTGTCCTTTTCAAAAGCCATGAAAATCAATTATAATTATGGCATACTTATTTGATTTCTCATGAATGCCTCTAATAAAAAAAAAATATAAGGACTGTTATTATCAGTTAACACAGTCTGATCAGTGAAATGCTTTATTTGAGACATTAATGAGGTAAAATGTGATCATCCATTATCTTATTACTTTTCTTAATATTCTCACTAGTGTAGATAATCAGTAAAAGTGGTTTTAATATACATTTCAAGCATTAAAAATAACTGTGCTAAATAATAATAAAAATTGCCCATAATATTCAAACAGTACTGTTTATATAATTTTTAACTTCAAAGTATTTATAGTTCTACTTTAGTGGGTATTTTTTACTAACAATGTTCTCAATATCCTTGTACAAAAAGAAAACAACAAACAAACAAAAAAAACCTGACACCGTTTGAAATCATCCAGACAAAGAAACAAAGGTAAGAGACTTTTCAGCAGAACCTTTCTCAGTCCCAAGGTAAGTCTTTATGTTACTTCTAAATAATTCAGAAACTCAGTGTTGGATTTTTATTTTTATTATGACATTTTGGTACAACATTTGCATACATTATTTGCGATCCTCCCCATCTTTGTAATGATTTCGGTTCCCACTTGAACTGCAGACTTCATGGTGCCTTTCTGATTTGTATAATTGTGGCTTAGAAAGCAAACAAACAAGAACTTCATGTTCTAGCAATATTGTGTAAACTCTCTAGCTATAAACAAAAAGGCAAGTAATACAATTTTTCTTTAAAATAAATTTTAAAGGCTGAAATCCAAAAATAAATAAGTGAGGGAAGTCACAGGGCTCCAAAACAAAAAGAGCTGAACGTTAGGGTAGTGCGCATAGAAACTGATGCTGTGGTTGTTCTGGGTGGAAACGTGTGGTCGTATGGTGGAAATAAGTCTAGAAAACCAAAGACAGAGAACCAGGAGCAAAGATTTTGGCTCATTCAAAGGAAAATGAGGAGAGTATTAGACCTGAGATCCCCACAGAAAGCTAGGACCTTCAAAGTTACTTACATATTGTCAATGAAAGGGCAGGGTTGAGAAAAAAGCCATTTAGTCAACACAGCAATATGAAAGACAAGAATCTTGTCTACCCTCACTTAGGCTCTAAATGGGCCTAAAAATTCCAAGCCTGCTCCAGTGCTGTGTATGGGTTTGTAGTTTTAACTGCCATCACATAGGTGATCCAGGAACACCTAGTCAAGACATTAGTATCAAAGATATCCGAGGAGTACCTAAGAGGTGTACATGCAAATTCCTTTCAAATACCCTCCACCCTGAACACTTAAGATTTTCACAGGTAAAGACCTGTGATGACCATGAATTCAGATGACAGAGTACAAAACATATAAGAAAACAATTGACAATGAATAAAAGTGAGCCTATATAACATAAATTTTCCCAAAAATGTCAAATAATAAAATTATAAAACAGAGACCAAAAAATGGTCTCTTTGAATGCTTAATGGTCTAATAATAGGAATATAAAATACAAGAAGAGAATATTACACTAAAAATAGAAGTATAGTAAAACAATTATTAAAAAATTAATTCAAGGGATGCACAGATGGCTCAGTCAGTTAGGCGTCCGACTTTGGCTCAGGTCATGATCTCATGGTTCAAGGGTTCAAGCCCCACGTCGGGCTCTTTGCTGACAGCTCAGAGCCTGGGACCTGCTTCAGATTCTGTGTCTCCCTCTCTCTGCCCCTCCCCTGCTTGTACTCTGTCTCTCTCTCAAAAATAAGTAAACATTAAAAAAATTTTTTTAAATAAATAAAAAAATCAGTGTGTGGGTCTGTATCTGGGTTCTCTATTCTATTCCACTGATCATGTTTCTATGATGTCAGAACTGCACAGTCTTGATTGCTGTAGTTATGTGAATAAATCTTAAACCCTTTCTTCAACTTTATTCTTCTTTTTGCAAATTGTTTTAATTATTCTAGCTCCTTTGCCTTTCCATACAGATTTTAAAATAATCTTGTCCATACCTTTAAAAAAATCTTACTGGGATTTTTTAAAAGGCTTGCATTAAACCTTATATCAATTTAAAGAGATTGACAGCTTTATGATGTCAGGTCTTCCAATCGATGAATATGGTATATCTCTCAATTTATTAAATATTCTTTTATTTCTTTCATTAGTGTTTTGAAGTTTTCAGGATATAAAGCTTATACATGTTTTATTAAATTTATACCCAAGTATTTCTATTTTTAATGACTATAAATTCTATTGTATTTAAAATTTTTATTTCTATGTGTCTGTTACTGGAATATAAAAATAAAGTTGATTTTGCCTGTTCTATCTAGAAGACTGGTTTGATTTTTTGTTTTTACAGTTCCACATCATATGGCATTTGCCCTTCTCTGTCTGACTTATTTCAATTAGTATAATGTCCTCGAAGTCAATCCATGTTGTTGCAAATGGCAAGACTTCATTCTTTTTTATGATTGGATAGTAATCCGTTATATATATATCCAATAGTAATCCATCATATATGTGTGGATATACTCTATAAATATATCACAATTACTTTATCCATTTATCCATCAATGAACACTTAGTTTGTTTCCCTATCTTGGTTATTATAAATAGCATGAACATGGGATGCATATGTCTTTTCAATATATTAGTGACTTTATTTTCTTTGAATAAATACCCACAAGTGGAATGGCTGGATCATATGGTAATAGAATTTTTAATTTTTTGAGGAATCTCCATACTGTTTTTCACACTGGCTATACAAATTACATTTCCACCAATAGTGCATGAGGGTTCCCTTTTCTCCACATTCTCAACAATACCTGTTTTCTTGTACTTTTGATAATAGCCATTGTAGCAGGTGTGAGGTGATATCTCATTTTGATTTTGATTTGCATTTCTCTGGTAACTAATGATGCTGAGCATCTTTTCATATACCTGTTGGCCATCTGTACGTCTTCTTTGGTAAAATGTCTGTTCGACTCTTCTGCCTGTTTTTTAATTGAATTTTTGTGTTATTGTTGAGTTGTATGAGTTCTTTACATATTTTTGATATTATCAGATATATGATTTGAAAATATTTTCTCCCATTCAGTAGATTGCCTATTTTGTTGATGTTTTCCTTTGCTGTGCAGAAGCTTTTTAGTTTGATATAGTCCCAACTTGTTTATTTTTGCTTTTGTTCCTTTGACTGTTGGTATTAAATTCAAAACATTATTGCTAAGACCTGTGTCAAGGAGCTTACTGCTTATGTTTTCTTCCAAGAGTTTTATGATTTCAGGTCTTACATTCAAGAATCAAAGCCATTTGAGTTAATTTTTGTGTATAGTGGAGGATGGTGATCCACTTTCATGCTTTTGCATGTGGCTGTCCCATTTCCCCAACACCATTTATTAAAGAGACTGTCCTTTCCCCATTGTATATTCTTGGCTCCTTTGTTGGAAATTAATTGGCCATATATGTATGAGTTTATTTCTAGTCTCTCTATTCCATTCCATTGGTCTGTGTGTCTGTTTTTATGCCAATACAATACTGTTTTGATTACTATAGCTTTGGAATATATTTAGAAATCAGAAAGTGTGAAGCCTCCACCTTAGTTCTTCTTTCTCAAGATTGCTTTGGCTATTAGGATCATTTACGGTTCCATACAAATTTTAAGATTGTTCCATTTCCATGAAAAATGCCATTGGAATTTTGATAAGGATTGCATTGAATCAGTAGATTGTTTTGGGTAGTATGGACATTTTAACAATACTAATTCTCCCAATCCAATACAGTTGTTTTTATTTGTACCTCAGTGAGTTAGTTACTATTCTTTTCTGGGAGAATAATGATTACTTGAAAAGTTAAGAGAATTTCTATACTAGAATAGTCATGTTTTATTCATTTCTTCTCCAGATCTCTTGATAGAAACACTTTTTTTTTCTTCTGCAAAAATAGTAAACTTCAAAGCTACATAAGTTAGAAGCTGCAAATAACACAGGTATCACCTGTCTACCTTCATCAATCCTACCCATAAATTAGCTTATGAACAAGGTCCTATTCTCAGGGATTTTTCATGGTTACAGGAAAGTCAGTTACAAAGTATAGACCTATGCCTAAATCCAGTTCTCCTATATCCTAGGAAATTTTGACACATGAGCTCTCTTTCCTTCTTGGACAAGCTGATCAATCTTGTAAGAGATTATGGTAAGAGAAAGCCAGTCGTATATGTCACATGTGTATGCGTGTGGTTCTACCAAGTGGTATGAAAAATAACACTCATATCTGGTCCTTGCATATTTACTGTCTTTTGTTGTCCCAAAGATACAAGATGGCTTAATTTAACCATGTAGTCTAACTACAAAGAGCAAATAAGAACTGTATTTGTCCTTTTTATTCCATCTAGAATTTCTTGATACTTACTGGCTGGCCTGGTTCACCAATGCCAATCGGTCCTGGAGCCCCTGTTCTTCCTTCCTGACCTCTTTCCCCCTAAGAGAAAGAAATAATCAAATGAAGGTTTGAGTTTTTAAATAAAGAATAAACATACCACAAGATACTCTGGAGATTTCAACAAAAATAATGGCAAAATAGTCAAACTTTTCACATTCATAAAGATAAAAAAAATTCTGGAGGAGGAAAAATGGTTTGAATTTAAGTGAACACTACTTTTAGCTTTCAGAAGCTATTGTGTAGTATTTGGCAGGATAGACTGTATTCGATTCATTTTTGGTTACGGAGATGACCAAGCAAACAATGCTTGTGCTGTTCCCTGCCCCCCTTGCCACCATCCTGGAATGTTACCCACTCTGTTCCATTTTACCTCTCTTTTCAATTCTATTTCACACTTGATCTCCTTCAGAATCCTTGTCCGATAACTCTGCCAATATAAACTCCACTTTCTCTAGAGTCTCAATATGCTTATTGTTTAAATACCATCCATGGTGATACTTGACTTCATTAGAAGTGCACTGTTTTGTGCTGCTCTCTGTTTTATTCCTGCAACAAAGTCTTATTGTCCCAATGACATAGAAAAGCCATTTAAAATAAGCACTTTTGCTCTGTGACATCCTACATGATGCAGAGCACTCCAGGGTGTTGGATGTTCCAGTACTTTCTAGTTCCCTAAAAACCTTTCTATCAACACTTACTTGTTCAGTGTTGTGGTCCTTCTGGTTTCTGCCCTTCTATGCTTCTTTAGTGTGAGAAGATGATAGTGTGTGTGTTAAGATGCTTCACATCCCAATAACAATTTTGCATGTTAACATTTACATTCCATGAAATTAATAGAACTTGATGTACATTGGCAATAAGGTGGGTATTTATTTGGAGACAAGACAAATTTTTCATGCCAATCAAATAAAAAATACATTGATTTTTCTTGTGGTAACTGCCCCTGCCTGGAGCACTGCAGTTTCCAAGAACCTAGACTGTAAGTACCTTCTGCAGGCAGCCTCTTTGTATCTAGAGGGTAAGGTTGAGTGGATTCAAATCATAGCTTCTCCAGCCCAACAATAAAATTAATACTCATAAATAGGGAAAAAGACAAGAATCTTTACCTTAATTCCTTGCTGTCCAATACCAGGGGCTCCTGGAGGACCATGAGGACCAGGGGGACCTGGTTCACCCTACAAGAAGAAACAGTTATATGTTAGGTCAACTCAACAGTATTTGTTGAACAGCTCTTAGAGCATAGTGCTGTGGTAGGAGTTTTGAGGGCAACAGTGAAATCTAGGACACAGTCACTGCCCTCAAAGTGTTTATAATCCAGCTGGAAGGACAACAAAGACTCAGGGTTGAATTAACCACTGAACACAGTAGTCACAATGTCTAGGGTCCATGAAAATGTTTCCATTTTAATGTTTAAAATCAGAATACAAATTAAAAAAAAATAATGAATATATGACAATGAATTCATTCTGGATTAAATTTGTCTTTATCCCAATTCAGTTGTAATGTATAATTTTTAGCTTTTTTTTTTTTTTTAGTGGAAGAAGAGGCCCGCAAAAGCAAACGTTTTCAGGATGCATGTTGCACTGCAGCCCTCACTTGTTGTTCAGCAAGTCTTTATTATATGCTTCTGACAGACACATTTGTCTCCTACCCAATGATCATCCCCTGCCCTCTTTCCTTCCCTGCTATTGGAACTCTGATCTGTTCATGTCAGTGGAAAGCTGTTCTTTATACTCAGGGTCACAGGATGAATAATAATTGGTTTAATGCAAATCTACCATCTCCTGTTCCTTTGCCACTGGTTGGTTCTTTGGCTCAGTACCAACCAATGAGATGTGGTGACATTATTAGGTGCAAAGAGAAAAGATTTTGCCCCTGCCTCTTCTTTCCTACTTGGAGATGCGATAGGTATCTTGTAAATTTGAGGCAGCCAATCTCTTGGCTGAATGCCAACCATTGAAGAGGACCATGCAGAAAAACATTTTTAAGTGCCTGGCTCCTGGAAAATCTCATTGAACTTGATCAAACAAAACCTCATTGAGCTACCCACCTTCAAACCTTCTGTTTACTAGAAGTGGCTATTGATTACAATTTCTTTTTTTAATTTGTTTCTATTTACAGAAATAACATACCTTCATTATAGGAAATTCACCACATATTGAAAGGCATACACACATAGAAAATTTTAACTTATCTGTCTATAGCTACTATTAATTTCTGGGGCATTTCCTTCTAGTTCTTTATGCACACACATACCTCTAATTTATGGGAAGGAAGGTTTCTGAATACTGTTGTGTTTGAGTTAATGAATACTTGCTATTTAAAATTTCATCCAACTTACAGATTTCTCTCTTCTCTTCAACCTTGTATTAATTAACCGTAAAATGGGACAAGAAGTTGAAACAATCCTTCTCCAGACTGAGGGAAACAAAAGAATTTTCACCAATGTTAAAGCCTCAATTTTCCCTGGAGGCTTGTGATTTTTGAAGGGGACTCTAGTGACTAAAGCAATTTCTATTGATACGGTAGAGGCCTTACTTTAAGGAAGTCTATGGACTTTAATCAATTGTAAAGGGGGGAAAGAAGAGACAGGAAGAAGGGTCAGAGTCAAATCAGCCCCCCAAAAGATAAGCCCAGGCTCAAAATCATAACAAAGAAAACCTGTCTCAGAATCAGTTGATTGTGAGAGTTTATGATGCTTTGGCATTTAAGTGGCTTGTATCTAAAGGTATCTTCCTTCAGTTCATTCTTGTAATAAGTCAATCTGGCAGAAAAATAAACTTGCATTTTTCCCTTAAAATCAAAGTTTTACGTATTTTTCTATGCATATTAAATTTTCTGGAGCAGCCAGATAATTGCCATTCTTATTTTTCACATGTTCTTGGCCATGGAATTTCTCCATGTATAATATCAGACATAAAGGCTCTCCCAGATTTGAAGCTGTCTTCTTGATATCAAAGTTTGATTTAAGTACTAGAGAATATTCCGTTTCCTAGTGTAGATTCAAAATTTTCATTTCAAAGAATCTTTTCCCTACAACTTCTTGTGCTACATACATCCTTAACCGTGTGAATGGGTGACAGCTTCCGTCACTCAGCAAAGGAATAGCAAGCATTTACTATGTGGACAGTAATGAAGTAAATATAGAAAAGTTTAGGACATAGTCCCTAAACCCAAAGGACTAGTTTAAGAGGTAAAACACACCATTAAAATAATAATAACATAAGGCCTTAAGTTCCCTTTTTCTATTCATTCCCTGCCCCATTTATATTTGTTTGGTTCTAAAATGGATCAGAAGGGGGCGCCTGGGTGGCGCAGTCGGTTAAGTATCCGACTTCAGCCAGGTCACGATCTCGCGGTCCGTGAGTTCGAGCCCCGCGTCGGGGTCTGGGCTGATGGCTCAGAGCCTGGAGCCTGTTTCCCATTCTGTGTCTCCCTCTCTCTCTGCCCCTCCCCCGTTCATGCTCTGTCTCTCTCTGTCCCAAAAATAAATAAACGTGAAAAAGAAATAAATAAATAAATAAAATGGATCAGAAGGCTTTTAAATATTATGTTATGCCACATTATTTTAATTATATTATATTATACTGTATTATATTATATTCATAGTATATATTAT